TTTAATCTTTTGCTCGCCGGAAGAATTGGAAACACCCACAATCGTCTCCAATTTCTCGAAATAATTTGTGTTCATTTATTTTTATCCAAAACTTCTTCATGCCAGTTTCGGATGAGATTTTTGAGTGTGTTTTTTTCCAATGTTTCATTGTGTCAAAATTTTTCGAGACCTGATAGAATAGGGGTAGAACTAACTGAAATAGGCAAACTTCATCGCAAAAGTGCCAGATTCAGATTGAAAAATTTTTGATCTGCCAAAGTATGTATGTTTGAATTCTAGAGACTGAAAAATAAGTTCTACTTTGTGAAAAAATTTCTGCAAAAGCTTTATTTTTTCCGAAACTCTCTATTTCATTTCTGAACCCCTGAGAATTTCTAGACTTTATAAGAGAAATCTTATGTACGTTTAAAATTCCAAAGAGCATAAGTAGATCAAAATATAATTTTCATCAGAACTTAAGAGACGTTTTTTGTAATACCGGAAAACAGCCTGCGCAAGCAAAAAAAAAGTTTTTCTGAAAACTTGTGGAATGATAGCCACATGGGTGGGCATCAATTTGCGCATAATATTATTACTCAAAACCGCTTCACCATTGTGGTGTGACGGGTGAAAGCTGTATAGGCGGTCACAGGAACTTTGCTCTCCGTTGATATTTTTTGATGATCTCAACGCCAAAGTACTTCTTTTGGCCTAAAAATGATTTTTCAAGTTTACCGCATAAAAATTGCACCATTTCTAATGGTGCAATTACACCATGTTGGTGAAAAACACCAATATTTGCCTTTGGCGTCAATTTCCGCACTCTCGCACTGGTTTTAAACGCTTCCTCGTCATTTTTTACATACCCTACATAATTTTCAGAAAAATAAACGGGACCCCTTTTTTGGCAATTCCACCCCAAAGTTGGTCACCCAAGGTGTGCACCACAGCATTTTTTCTCAAAATCACCCAAATTTTTTGATTTTTTGTTTAAAAATGTTATTTTATGGTTCAAAGTTACTTTTATGTGAAAATTAGGAAGTTTTCGGGGCGAAAACGTGTTATTTCACGCATTTCACGTGAAAACTCACGTGAATTTTTTTTTTCGAAAATTGAGTTTAAAAACGTGTTTTCTGGGGTTTTTAACTATGCTGATCAACGTGGTATTATTTATTTTCCTCGAAATTTCTGAATTCAATGAGTTTGACAACACTCTGGAAGTTTCACTTTTTAGAGTTCATTTTTATGACATATCTGAAAATAGCTAAATATGAAATTTTCAAGAAAAATAAATGATACCACATTGATCAACATAGTCAAAAACCCCAGAAAACACGTTTTAAACCTTAATTTTCGAAAAAAAAATTCACGTGAGTTTTCACGTGAAATGCGTGAAATAACACGTTTTCGTCCCGGAAACTTCCTAATTTTCACATAAAAGTAACTTTGAACCATAAAATAACATTTTTGAACAAAAAAATTAAAAATTTGGGTGATTTTGAGAAAAAATGCTGTGGTGCACACCTTGGGTGACCAACTTTGAGGTGGAATTGCCAAAAAGGGGTCCCGTTTATTTTTCTGAAAATTATGTAGGGTATGTAAAAAATGACGAGGAAGCGTTTAAAACCAGTGCGAGAGTGCGGAAATTGACGCCAAAGGCAAATATTGGTGTTTTTCACCATCATGGTGTAATTGCACCATTAGAAATGGTGCAATTTTTATGCGGTTAACTTGAAAAATCATTTTTAGGCCAAAAGAAGTACTTTGGCGTTGAGATCATCAAAAAATATCAACGGAGAGCAAAGTTCCTGTGACCGCCTATACAGCTTTCACCCGTCACACCACAATGGTGAAGCGGTTTTGAGTAATAATATTATGCGCAAATTGATGCCCACCCATGTGGCTATCATTCCACAAGTTTTCAGAAAAACTTTTTTTTGCTTGCGCAGCTCCTTATTCTAAAATTTCCCTTCTTACAAAAAACCTCTCTTAACAAGTTTCTTTACAGAAATATTCGAAATTCAGATTTGAGCTCCATTTATTTTCTAAAAGATATTTTCCTAACCTGAACCCATCAACATCACTACCAGAAAACTTCTACTGAAATAAGTTATTATAAATAGTTGCCTATCGTCTCTCGCGGCGTTGATGGACGTGTTGTGGAACACGACATTTTTCTTATAGCAATTATCTTTTCTTTTTTCTTCTTTTTCTGGTTTTGGGCTCTCTCTTCTCTTTTGTTTTTTCGTCATTTTTTCAGGTTTCTTTCAAACATGCATTAGACAAATAAAAAAGTTTGAACCCTATAGGGTTTCTCTTGATTTCTGAACATTCTAAATAAATCAAAAAGTTGCATCATTCGGATTTGTTATATTGTTCTGATGCTCTCAAAAAATCCAAAAAATGTACTATTTTGTTTGGTGTAGTTGACAAGTCTCAAACATCTTCTCGATTCCACCTCATTTCACATTTCATGCTTTTCCTTTGCCAAATGATACGTCAGCTTCTTCTACAACTTTTTTCTCTATTTTTCAACAAATCCACATTTGAACTAAATATGTTTTTCTTCACTTCAAACTTGTTTTGATCTAACTTCTATCCTCACGTCTTTTTACAAAACAGACATGTTTTCACACCAATCACCAAGTGTACTTTTCTCATTAGAGCACACTTGTCATAACCAGAAGTACAGAATTCTTCAAAATACGAATTGTTGTAGGAAAAAATTCGTTGAAAAACAGGAATCTTCATAAATATAAATATGCATTATTTCCACATTTGTGAACTTCAATGAGCAAAAAAAAAAATTCGCGCAGCTTTTTTTCTAAATTCATAAAATTCCATAGATCCCGGAATAATTATTTTATATTTTTTTGAAAAAAGGTGCGTAAGTTCTCATATGATACTAAACAATTCTGAAAAAAATATCGAGATTTTCTCACGCTGTTTGAGCAGAATTATCGAAACTCATTTTCTATAATTTCGAAAAAAATTTCTCTCTCACAGAAAAAATCTATACAAGTTTTGATTTTCGTTCATTTCTATTTCAAAACAACAAAATACATTATTCATCCAGAGCGTATTTCAATTGAACGGACCTTTTTTTGGGTTTCCGAACTTTTCGGGATGAGATGATATAAATATTTCATCGGATATAATAAGTTTTGGCTCTCACCTTCTTCTTTTTTTCTTTGGAGGAGGTACTTCTCAAGTATGTACTACTATAATTTAACTCATGTTTTCACGCTGTTTTCTTTTTTATTTTCTTTTTTTTTGTATAAACTTGGGTGAGGATTGAGGAAAACAAGAGTTCAAACCAATCAAAATCCAATCGGAAAAAAAAAGTGCGAAGCTATTTTGCTTTTTTTTTCAAACCAGACCTGTCGTTTTGCGGCTATTTGCGGCCCTCGGGCCAGCCATGTGAAGGGCCGGCCTAGCCAGCCCAAATAGGGAAAATGGGCTGGCTCAGCCCGGCCTTTCCAACAAATTTTATTGTGTAAATGCACTATTTTTCAATGGTGTTTCTTTCGAATTTTAGCATTTTGGCGGAAATAATAGGCGAATTTCGTGTTTCTAATGGTGGATTGATAATAAAAGTAAAATTTATTGAAATTCATGTGTTTCACCATTACGATCCTGCACCAAAACAGTACTTCGAAGAAATGTTGGTGCACTGACACCAATATAAGTTATTCTGATTTACGAAATTCGCCCAAATGCAGAAAATTTGAGCAAAATCATCCATTTGTAAAAATCCCGAATTGTCATCAAAAAATTATGAAGGGCCGAAAAAGGGCTGAAACAGCCTCTCATAAAAAAAGGAGGGCCGGAGGGCCGAAAAAGCCCGCATTTTTTGAATTTTGAAGGGCTGGCCCGGCCCGGCCGCCCAAAAACGACAGGTCTGTTTCAAACAAAAAATAATCTAATCTAGTTCCAAACTTTCACTAATCTTATTTGAACTTTTGCTTGTTTCGTTATATAGATAAAAAAATCTTCTTTGTTGTAAGTGTTAAATATTTTCATTCTGACTAAGCGTTGGATTGCGTTGATCTCTAATGTCTGAAAATCTTGAAAGATCTGAAACTAATCTAGTGCCAACATTTGTTGTGTCGTGTGTTGAATATAAAATGTTTCCTGATTTTTTGTCCGCTGACACGTATATTATCTAAAGGTTTAGCATTTTCGAAAAGTTCTCAGCTGCCTTTTCCCGTGTTGGTTCTAGAATTTAGATTGATTCATAATGAAACCAGAAGGTGAACTAGAAGAAACTTTAAACATGCAGCCTGTAAAAGAAAACACTAGGAAGGAACTTAATCCGAAATGGATCATTGTTCAACTTCTTGAACTTTTCTCTCTCCATCTTCCAGTTTTTTCTGTATGTCTTTAATCTATTCTATTCAATTGCTCTTCTTCTCACGTATTCATGGACTTTGATATTATTTGCCTTTTTGTCTTTTCTTTTTTTTTCATCTATTTATTTCTTGTCTGAACTCCTTTTTGGTATTCCATTTGCTATTATTTTTTTGCTAAACTTTCAATATTTCCCAGTTCTGATCAAACTACAAAATACAATGCGCTGGGTGAGAGAAAAAGGAAACTTGAAAGAGGAATTTCCGAGGTTCTTATTATTTTTCCGCACTTTTGCATCCTATTTTCAACAACTGCAAAAAATACATATATACTCTAATCCCGGCATTCAATTTATTTCCAAGCAAACCACAAACTCCTTGAACTTTTCCACAATTTTTAATTGCTCCCAACATTTTCCTTTTGTTTTAAACAACTTTTTCTCCAAGGTGGGTGTGAAAAAAAAATGACGCAGGTGAAAACTTTTTGTTCCATAATTTTCCCTCCGTAAAGAAAACACATTTTTATACAACAAGAAAAATTAATGCCCCGCCCTTCTCAACCTTTTATAATATCTCATTTCGATGTTGCATGTTTCTCAATGTTTTTTTCTTCTGCGCTTGAAAATTGAGATAAAAGTAATAATATTAATGTTTCAGATTTCTGACAAGAAAATGGAGACCGGTGAGACGAGAAATGTCTCAACCGGTCCACAATCATTGGAATATAATTATGCAGGATTATTTCTAATAATTATCCCATTAATCACACTTTTGGGTAATTTGCTAGTTATAATATCAGTTCTTCGATTCCGCGCACTTCAATCAGCTATCAATTTTCTTATTCTTGGTCTAGCTGTTGCTGATCTTTTGGTCGCAATTATTGTCATGCCATATGCTGTGTACATTTACGTGAGTTCCAATTCAAAATTATTCGTTTTCCTCATCAATTCAATGTCAAATAAATGTGGCTCAACTCAACTTCTCTCGTTTTTTTCGTAAGGTTTTTGATTAAACTTTAGCGAGAAAAGGAGAAGAGTGGATTGAAAAGACACTTCAAAAAAAAGAAGGGAATTGAGGAAACGAAAATCAAAAATCTCCACGTTTTTTTAGTTATGCTCGGATGGATTTCTAGGGATTTTGACCTTCCTTTTTGAGCAAAAAAAACTATTGTGGAAAACTTCCGAATTGAGTTCAGGAAACTCGAGACAATTTTTTGTTGTATTCAGGTAACAAATGGCGAATGGGGTTTGGGAGATCTGATGTGTGATATATATATAACATCTGATGTTGCATGCAGTACTGCCTCAATTCTACTTCTTGCTGTTATATCATTTGATAGATATCGAGCAGTATCTCTACCGATTCAATATTCTCGTCAGAGTCAGAATACAAAAAGAGTTTTTGCTGTGATTGCTGGAATTTGGTTTATCTCTTTGGCTCTTGCAAGTCCAATGGTTTTAGGTTAGTGAAACCTTGAAATTGAAAAACATCTGTCATAAGATCATAGCAAAAAATGTTTGAAATCAGCTGAAAAGATCATAAAATTTTGAATTTTTAAACTGTTTTCGTTTTCAGGGGCCAATGTTCGCCCACCAGGTGCGGATACGAATGAATGTCGATTTTATAATGCTGAATTCTCAATTTTAAGTTCAGTCATATCATTCATCATTCCTTGTATTCTTGTGCTTTTTGTATATATTCGAATTATCATTGCACTCAAAAAACGAGAAAAAGCGGCAAAAATGCGACGAGAGAAAAATTGCATTGCTCAAGGATTGACGTTAGTCAAAACCCTATGAATTTTCAAAATCTTCGCTTTTTTTCCAGAATTCGGAATGATCAAGCAGATCCGATTGATGAAGAAGCAGCTGGTAGAATTGTAGCGGGTCCAGGTTTGTTTTTGCGGAATATTTCAAAGTTTTTTTCCAAAATAATTTTTCAAAAGAAATCCTAAGCTTTTTGTGATACGCTTTCTTCCCCCAATGTTATTTATATTTCAGTTTGTTTTCCCAATGTTTATTATTATTATTATTATTATTTACATTTTTATCCTTTTAGACATTATTTTTTTATTCTTTCATAATTGCGGGTTTGTGGGTTGACGAAGGTTTCCGGACCATGATCTATAGATAAATAGACAGCAGCTAAAAAAAGGCGAGCTTTGATTTGTTTCCCCAATTTTCCCCCCGTATTCTCCGTCGTTTTCAGTTGTTAATGTTATGATGGCGGCACTTCCATCAATGACACGTCGAATGAGACAATTTGAAAGACATCGACGAGCTATTGAATTAGCAGGTGATGAAGAATGGGAAAATGAAATGGAAGAATTTGAGGAATATGATGATTATGAATATGATGAAGATGAGGATGAGAGAGGTGGTAATGGAAAAAATAAGAATAATAAAGGATCAATAATTGCAACAACATCTTCACACAAGAATTCTGATTATCACGCTGATGATGGACAAAGTGCAATTGAAGCAAGTGCACCGAGAACAACTTCAATGCTTCGAAGAATAATTAATGCGACATCGCCTAGTCAAAATCTTTTACCACAACCTCAAACCTCATCATTATCAAATCATAAAGAATCATCAGTATTCTCCTCTTCCACAACTTCGACAGCATGTGATGAACATCCAGTTGATGCTTCGAAATCTCCAACTTCTACTTCTACCCTCCTTTTCAGTATGTTCGATAGATATATTTATCGTCAGCATGTTTCGATTTCAGTTTTCCTCTTTTCTTTCTTCTCTCTTGTAAATTTATGCATATTTAAAGTATTGATATTTGATATTTGGTATGAATATATAGAGTAAAGTACAAAATTAAACGTCAGCACAACTATTGAATGAACACAAATCACAAAGTAATAATAGGCATGGGTTATGAGCATGAAAAAAATCTAAAAAGATTTCAAGAAAATAATTTTTATATTTTCAGAAGAAAGAGAATTCGGAAACAGTTCAACACCTCGATCGTCAATTGATTCATTATCTGAAACTTGCAACGTTGTAACAAATGATTTTGTCTCGGAAAATTGTACAACAATGTCTCGAAGATCTTCATTTGCCGATGAATCTCAACCAACATCATCACAGGCATCATCTGGAGATGGAAGAGTTAACTCCAAGAAAATTCAGAAGTCTTTCGAGAAACTATTCTACAAAACATCACAAAAGAAATATGCGAAATTCTTCTTTGTTAGTTTTCAATTAATTTCTAGTGTAAATTTGAATTTTTCAGAGGACATGATCAGGCTTTTATTCCTTCAATAATTCGAACAATCTCTAGAAGAAGTCCACGAATTTTCCGTAAAAATCCACCGAAAAAACCATCAATTGTTCTTTCAAATCCAGTAACCGAACCAACAGAATATCGAAAACCAACTCGAGCACCATTAGAAACAATGAGTGCCAGTAGCACAGCAAACAGTTAGTTTTTTTGGAAAAAAAAGATTATGAGCACAACGATTTTCAGCCGCAGAGTTGTTGGCGTCAACAGATATCGGAATGATAACTGAAACTGTTTTTGAAGAAGATTTCGAACCTCAACCAACTCTTCAACCAACTGTTAGTTTTGCATTAACAGTTCGAGAAATGGAAGGTGATGCATTAGATTGTTTGAAAGGAGGTGGAACTGCACCGTCAAGTAGAAAAGCTTCTCAAATTGATCCGCTAGCAGTTAAAATTCTAACTAGACCAAGTTTACCAAGTGAGTGTTTGATCAGACAATCAGACAAAAATATTATTATTTTTCAGGTCTGGAACTCCAACGAATGGATTCTATCGGAACCACCTGTTCTTCAAAAACACGTGCTGATAGTTTGAAATCAACTGACTCGAAAACATCCAAGAAAAGTTCGAGAAACGGTATCGCTGTTAAACTTGTGAAAAAAGCCATCAAACATGAGCACAGTTTGAAGAGAAAAGTTTCAAAAGCTCAGCGAAAAGAGAAACGAGCCACAAAAACATTGGGAGTTGTGGTTGGTGTTTTCCTGGTCTGTTGGGTTCCATTTTTTGTCATCAATATTTTGAACGCAGTTTGCTCATTGCTAGAGAAAGATTTTTGTATGGTAAGCACAATATTTTCCCAGCAGAACAAAAACAAATATATTTTGTTCAGGTTGGTTATGATCTCTTCTTCTATTGCACCTGGATCGGTTATATGAATTCATTCATGAATCCTATCATCTACACAATTTTCAACACCGAATTCCGTCGCGCCTTCAAATCCATCTTATTTGGTCGCAACAGTGTTCGAGCTCAAAACTTCAAAACTCATTTGTAATTGTTTTTTTTTCTCTCTCTCAAAGTATCTCCAATTGTGTTTCGGGTATCTCTCGCATTTTTCTCGACAATGTTTAGTTTCGGGTTTCGTTCTTTTATTTATTTATTTATGTATATGTATGTATGTTTTGATACTTTGAAAGTACAATGGAATTAGGAAATAAAATAATTTATGAAAATGGGAAATCCCTACATAATCTTTACGGAAAAATGAACAATGAATGATGATAATGTCGGCAAATCATCAAAGATCAAAACTACGTGTGAATGAGTGAATCAATTGTTTGCATCTGCATCGCAAAACCAACCGGATTACATCAGCGCAAAAAGCACAATGTTACTTTTTCTTTTTTGTTTGTGTTCAATGACAGCTGTAATCGGAGAAAAGAGTTGCGTAAGCTGGTCATTATTAAAGAAGAAGAAGAAGATGCTGCGCATATATAAATACCTAAAACTTTCTTGCCATTCTCGTCTTTCTGAAACGAAATGCGCTTATTGGTGTTTTTAGTTTGGTAGGTTTTTATGGTTAGAGAGATACGCAAAGATCAAAATACAAATTTTCAGCCTAACTGGCGTGTATTCACAAGTTGAACAATTGAACCCTGGAAGGTATTATGCAAAAGCAGCGCCTGTGTTGACACCAGATCTTGTTGCACCTTGTTTGATGCCACCATGTGGATCGGTAGCTTCTATTGGACCAGCTGCACCATTACCTGTTCCACCGCCAGAGAGAGTTGAAGTCGAACAACATCCAGAAGTGGCGCAATATCCTGAACAAGCTCCACCTCAAAACCCAGCAGCAAATCAACCAGCCGGACCCCAACAGGCTCAACAATATCCACCACAACAATTGACACCTCAACAACAAGAGGAAACACGACAAGCATTGGCTGCTTCTCTTCGATATCCGAGTCAACAACAATATCCACAGAACTATCCAGCTCCTCAGCAACCAACACAATCTTCTGGGGTTCCACAGTACCCACCACAGCAAGATTTATTGGCTCAGCAAGCTGTGGCTTCTCAACAACCTGCTCCACAACAGTATCCTCAAGCTCAAGCTGCTCCACAACAATACCCTCAAGCTCAAGCTGCTCCTCAACAATATCCAGGAGCTCAAGATGCTCCTCAACAATATCCAGGAGCTCAAGCACCTCAGCAAGCACAATACCCTCAAGCTCAAGCTGCTCCACAACAATATCCAGGAGCTCAAGCTGCTCCACAACAATACCCTCAAGCTCAAGCTGCTCCTCAACAATATTCAGGAGCTCAACCTGCTCCACGACAATATCCAGGTGCTCAAGTTGCTCCACAACAATATCCAGGAGCTCAAGCTGCTCCTCAACAATATCCAGGAGCTCAAGCTGCTCCTCAACAATATCCAGGAGCTCAAGCTGCTTCTCAACAATATCCAGGAGCTCAAGTTGCTCCTCAACAATATCCAGGAGCTCAAGTTGCTCCTCAACAACCAGTTCAACAGTATCCAGGTGCACAATACCCTCAAGCTCAAGCTGCCCCACAACAACAACAGTATCCAGGTGTCCCACAAAACTCTGCACCCCAACAACAACCGCAATTCTCGGGAGAACCTCAAGCTCCCCAACAATATCCACAGAACTATCCTGGACCTCAACAACCAACGCAACCATCAGGTGTTCCGCAACCGGCTCCTTCAATGAGCCCACCATCTTCCGGACCATCGACACTTCCACAATTCGGAGATGAAGCTCAAGCGGTTTTCGAGAAAGCAGTTTATTCAGCGACGGGTGTTCCGAAACGAGCTGGTGAATATTTGCAGCCACCAAGTTTGCCATCAAAAGACCCATTCCTTTACGCCAACTATTTTATTGGAAGCAATAAACAAGCAATGTTTTATGTGTAAATCGACTACGAAATAATTTATCTGTTTTGTGATATCTAACAGTATTTTGTACATAAACTTATTCATTATTTATGATTTCTAAATTTCAATTAGTGAAATGATACATATCCTGGTCTGAAATTTCCTGCTCCTGATATCAGAGAACCTCCGACTTTCACATTCGGACAAAACGATTTTGTACATCTTGTGGTTGGATTTGGTACTGTAGTTGTTCGTAACAGTGTATTAGATAAAGTGGTTTCAAACTTCGGGAGTTGTGGTCCTTGAGTTGTAAATGAAAGTGTTTTCGCTGAAGTTGTTTCCATCTTCAGGAGTTCTACAGTAGTCATCGGAGTAGTTTGTCTAGTGAAAATAACCTCATCATCTCTAGAATGGTCAATTCTTTCAAAAACAATTTCATCATCCGAACGGATTCCTTCTAACAAAGATAGTAATGTCATAAAAACTGCTAGAAAAATTATCATCATTTCGTTGACAAAATTTTGAAATTCAAAATTTTCAAAAAGCTATCAAAAAATGTCTAGAATGCATTTTCTCACGTCTGGGAATATTCCTGAACAATCTTTTCAAATTTATATCATTTTACCAAAAAAAAATGGGGTTTCAAAATGTTTCTAAATTGCCACGTTATCATAGCACATGCATAGCACAAAATGACAGCTGAAATTTGAGAAAACAAAATGAGATTCAGTTTTGATCGGTTTATATTCACACCGTTTTGCATGTTTTCAAATCACCATGGCAAATCATTACAGTAATGAAAAATCGAAAAATGGTTTCATTTTCAAAAATATACAAAAATGAAATGAGAAAACATGAGATGCGTTTCTTATTTATGCCTTGACTCCGCTCTTTCCTTTGTTCGATCCGTAGAAGTAAGCTGCAGTTTGGAATGGAGAATAAGCTGGGACAACAGCTGGAGCGGCAGCGGCAACAACTGGGGCAGCCGCAGCGACAACTGGGGAGGCCGCATAAGTTGGAGCTGCAGCATATGCTGGAGCATAAGCTGGAGCTGCAGCTCCACTGTACAAAGCTTGATAGAATGGAGAGTATGAGGTTGCTGGCCATGCAGCAAGTTGAGCTGAAGCAGCAGCGAAGAGGGCGAAGATGACACTAAGAGTATGATTTTTTTTATTGAAACTTGTGAAATATTCAGAAAACTTACGCGAAACACTTCATGATTTCTTGGATGACAGACAATAGACTGATAGTTACTCGAATTACTTTTGCGCTTTTATACCCCTCAAAACGGAAAGTTTGTGCAAGCAAAGAAATGATCAAAGAAAGTAAGTACACACGTAGTTTCGTTCGGTGTTGATTACAAAGAACTGGTTTTTTTTTGCTGCTGTCAATCGGCTCAAATGCACTTCTTCTCACCTTTTTTGTTTGCTTATTTGTTTGTTTATTTTTTGGAAATTCTAGTAAGTAACTAGTTGATGTTTGTTTTTTGACATATCTCACTGTACACAGAAAGAATGTATATATGAGCCTCAGAATTGTGATCAGATGTTGTTTCGATGAAAATTTTAATTGAAATAGTAGAAAGAAGACAGTTTGAAATAACACGGAATCGATAGTTATATTCAAAAAAATTTCCAACTGTTAGACAAAATCATTATGTTGTCAGTTAGTTAACACTGCTGGGGAAGGACTTTTTTCCAGAATATTACTTTCTGATCAATGATTCTCGAAATTCATCCGGATGTACAATACACACTACAGTAACAATCAAACCAAATATGCCGTATCTGTAATTCTTGCCGTAAGACAACATGCGCAATCAAAAACTTTTTCAAAGCAATAAAAAATTGTCCGCGCGCACTATGCACATACCCGTTATATGAACAAAAGACGGCGCGAAAAAGCATATATAAACTTGAAATTTTGCATCAGTTCTCATACATTCTGTTTCATTTCTTCTAATCATGCAATCCATCTCGTAAGTCAATTTTTTTTGAATTTTAAATTTACCAATTACGGTATTATGCTTTTAGCGCTGTCTTGTTCGCTGTTTTGATCTGCTCTGGATCGGCTCAATTGGCTGCCTGGCCATCACAAAGCTATTCTCCATACTATCAATCTTTGTTCGGAGCTGCTAGCACTCCAGTTCTTTCTGCTCCAGTTGCCAGAACTGCTCCATCAGCTGTCCCATTAGCTGCACCAATTGCTGCTCCAGTTTTCGCCGCACCAGCTCCACTTTTGGCTCCTCCAGCGCCAGTTTTGGCTGCTCCAGCTCCAGTTCTCGCTGCTCCAGCTTTTGCACCACCTCCAGTATTGGCCGCCGCACCAGTTGCTCCAATTCTTCGTGCCCCAGCCTTCAACTACGCCCCATCCCCAGTTTTGGCACCAGTCGGTGTTGCTGCTCCAGTTTTGGCTGCCCCAGCTGTTCCAGCATTCGCTCCAGCACCAGTTCTCGCAGCTCCAGCACCAGTTTTGGCCGCCCCAGCCGTTCCAGCTTATGCTCCAAGACTTGTGCCAGCTTATTCTCCATTCGCCAGAGCTGCCATGTTTATCGGATCAAACAAAGCCAAGACGTTAGTTTTCACCTCACATCTGTTCAATTTGAGTTTAACTTTTATTAATTTTCAGAGCATAAGAAGATATATTCTTGAAATAGGATATTCGATGTTTGTATATAACGACTTGCCTTTTAATCGCCTCGTGTGCCTGCCAACTTTCATAATTATTGTTTCGTTTATGAAAATAAATTATGCATACGTTTAAAACTTTTCTTCAAAAACCTCTCGCAATCTCGACACAAACAAACCCTTGTCTTACAAAAACAAGAAAATGTTTTTGAAATTTCATTTCAGAGAAAATGTAACCAATAGAATAATCTTTGTCAGATAGAAGTTGAAAGAATGTAGAATATTTTTTTAAAAACTGAAAAAAAATAATAGAAAAAATGAAAAAATAACATTTTAGGGGTTTTCCTCTTTTTCCACAAGTCCTGGCTTGTGAGGAACTGAGACTGCATATCTCGTCTTTATACATTACAACTATACCCCCAAAAAACTTACCTGATATAATTTAACACAAATCACTGTGTTCTTTCACCCAAAACCATACCCAAAACCCATTAAACTGACCTGACATGAGTTGCAGTTGTATCCTCAAACCAAATCCTCAAATGCATTTTGTTTTCATTATTGAATTTGTAGTGGGAAACTAACATCGGCTCACTCAATCCGAATTCTCGAGCAATCTGGAATTTCTCTGGGTCATAGAAAGAAAAATAAACTCCCTAACTCACGTTTAATCGAGAGCTCTCATTGAACGGCAGGTCGAATAACAAATAAAATATTTGAAGCAATGAGCGTCCAACCTGAAAAAAAGAGATCTAGCGTTATTTTTTCGAACATTTATCTTAAAATAATAACGTGAACACTTTTTTCAACAAAATAAAAAATTCATTTCAAAAATGTATTTTCGGAATGTTCGTGTGGGCTGCCAATCGATATAGATAGAACAACGAAAAATTATTTAAATCCCGCGTGATCTACACTATTCACATTTGCGGGTCTAGGATTTATGAATTTAAAAATTAGGTTACAGCTTGATTTTTGCAGACACAAAGATAAGCAGACCCAAAAATAAGCAGACCCAAAAATAAGCACACACAAAAATGAGCATACACAAAGATAAGCAGACCCAAAAATAAGCAGACACAAAAATAAGCAGATCCAAAATAAGCAGACACAAAAATAAGCAGACCCAAAAATAAGCAGACACAAAGATAAGCAGACACAAAGATAAGCAGACCCAAAAATAAGCAGACACAAAAATAGGCAGACCCAAAAATAAGCAGACACAAAGATAAGCAGACCCAAAAATAACCAGACACAAAAATAAGCAGACACAAAAATATGTGCATAAATAAAAAATGCATAAATAAGATAAATACTGTCGACAGTGACATGTCTGTTCGCCAGCGAAGGAAATGCGCTCCATCGCACTTTTTTTTCTGCTGCCTCGATTTTTTTTTGTTTTTGAAAAAAAAAATGAAAATTTTCCTTTTTTTTTGTGTTTTCAAGTTTTTTTCGAAACTTTTGTAGGGTTTTTTTATTCAAATAGATGTATTGGGGGTAGAGTGTTCACTTTACATGTTATTTGTCTCGCATTATTAGTTTTTATGTATAAAAAACGCAATTTTTCAATTTCCAGGATTTTCCGAGACCGAAAAAAGTCGATAAACGCATCTTTTCGACTGGAATTTTATTATTTTTGTCAATAATAGGTAAGTTAGTGGTACAATAGAGTGTTTAAAATGTATATTCTTTGATTTTACAGATGTTCGAAAATTGCACGATTTTGGCTCGAAATTGCACTGAAAGTCGATTCTGAGTGTCGGTTTATATGGAAAAATACGAATTATGTGGTATTTAGAGGGACTTCTGGATATGATAATCAATGTGAATAGTGAGGTACGTGATCTTACTGTGTCATTCAGCTTTTTTGGCAAATTTTTGAAATAATGTGCAAAAAACATTTTCATTTCTGCAAAATCTTCGAAAAATCTCTCTTTAACTTAAACAGTTTTATTACATCTGTCAGGGCTAGCTTTCTAAACTGGTTGCACACCATATTTCGAAATTGAAAAGTAAAAATATACATGTTTCTTTTTATATGCACAAAAAGTTGATTTTCACCAAGATAATGTTCAAATCGTATGAAAAAAAGTGGAACGAAAATATAACAAAATGTTTTTTTCACTTCTGGAAGACAAAAAATAGCATTTTTTAAACTTATTTTGTGTGAATTGCTGTGATATCGAAGATAATCAAGCCAATTTTCTGACAAATTACATTCCAACACAATTTTTTTTTGATTTTTTGTTGTTTTCTTGTTTTTTGTTGTTGTTTTTCTAATTTGTGTGGTCGCACGACGTGATTTTTAGTATTTCTTTATCATAATTTTTTTGGAATATTCAATCGGAGCTTCATCAAAACTATAGTCTATTCAGAGCTTTGTATCTCGGAAAAACAAACATGATTTTCGGAAGAAAAACATAATTCAAACAAAACAACGAATAAACAAATACCGTGGCATAATTTATTATTATTTGAATACAAAAATTCGAAATTAAATTAAAGTAGGCACACGTGGCGGTAGAAGGCAAGTCGTTATATACAAACATCGAATATCCTATTTCAAGAATAGATCTTCTTATGCTCTGAAAATTAATAAAAGTTAAACTCAAATTGAACAGATGTGAGGTGAAAACTAACGTCTTGGCTTTGTTTGATCCGATGAACATGGCAGCTCTGGCGAATGGAGAATAAGCTGGCACAAGTCTTGGAGCATAAGCTGGAACGGCTGGGGCAGCCAAAACTGGTGCTGGAGCTGCGAGAACTGGTGCTGGAGCGAATGCTGGAACAGCTGGGGCAGCCAAAACTGGAGCAGCAACACCAACTGGTGCCAAAACTGGGGATGGGGCGTAGTTGTAAGCTGGACCACGGAGAATTGGAGCAACTGGGGCGGCGGCCAAAACTGGAGGTGGTGCAAAAGCTGGAGCAGCGAGAACTGGAGCTGGAGCAGCCAAAACTGGAGCTGGAGGAGCCAAAAGTGGAGCTGGAGGAGCCAAAAGTGGAGCTGGTGCGGCGAAAACTGGAGCAGCAATCGGTGCAGCTAATGGGTACAGCTGATGGAGCAGTTCTGGCAACTGGAGCAGAAAGAACTGGAGTGCTAGCAGCTCCGAACAAAGATTGATAGTATGGAGAATAGCTTTGTGATGGCCAGGCAGCCAATTGAGCCGATCCAGAGCAGATCAAAACAGCGAACAAGACAGCGCTAAGAAAATAAATATAATTTTTAAGTTTTAAATTAAATGATAACTTACGAGATGGATTGCATGATGATTGAAAGAATGTTGTGTGTGTTCGACTTATTGCCGCGTGCGCCTTATATACATAGAAACTATTGGGTGTGCGCAAAACGGCGAACAAAAAAGAAATAAGAGGCGAAAAAGACAGTTGCAAGTAGCAGCCGGTTACTTGATACGGAAAACGGAAGTTCTGAAGAATGAATTCTAAAGAAAAACTAGATAAAAGTTCTACTAAATTCAAGAAAGGTCGTTTCAATGATTCATGATTTTTTGAGCTTCTTCGGGTGCACTTAAGATGTGTGATACTTATAAGTTGGAATTTGGGTTTTGTGTGAAACTTCAAAGCATTTAGGCATTGTTGAATAGTATACAGTCACAAGTTTATTATCTTATGAATTTAATACCAAACACAAACTACCCAGTTGGAACGAATTTCCCAAATATTTTTGAATTTTCATTTTAAGTGCAAGTTAGTTTTCTACCAAAAACACATCAGATATTTATGCCGACATGATTTTTTCTCACTGTAATTTGGCCAATATTTGTTGTGTAATCTTGCGTTTCGGTGTTTCGGTGTTTTCTGTTACTGTAAGAATTGAGAAATACAAAGCTCTAACTTCAAAACATTTTAAAAAAAGTCCCAATAACTTAACTTCCTTGGAATCACTGAAGACGTTTTTTTTTTCAAATTTTTACAATAAGAAAATTTGGTTTTTATAGTTTTTTTTTAATTCTGAAATGTATGTTTTCCAGAGTTTTCTGTAGAAAATGAAACCCCAAAAAACGTTAGAAACAGATTTTTCCAATTGAGTTGAACATTTTTGAATTGTATTTTTTACTCACTCAAAGTTAGCCTAAATTCATTTGTAGTTCAGATCCGATTTCTAAATTCAATACTTTTCTATTTCAGTTAATATTTCTGGTTCTAATTCAATTCCAGAGCTCATATTTCCTCATAGATTTTTATTCAATCAAAGATCACATTTCTCTATTCAAGCTCGAGTTTTATTTTAAGTACAAAGTCTGAATTTTGTTCAAACTACATTTGTCGTTTCCCGTTTTCCCACGCTTTGCACACAGTTTCCTCATTTTTTGTTTGCACATTTTTCACACCTGCGTAGAACGTTAATAAATCTGGAATTTTATCTGTGTAAATAATGAGGTGCGAAGAGGGAAAAAACTTATCAAATTTTTTGCATTGACTAGTTTTTAATCGAGATAAGTCAATATTTATGAATAATCTTAATGTCTGCATAACTTTTTTCACGAAATTAATTTTAGTCGAGTACATTGCGTTTGTTTAACAGTCTAACATTTTGATCCAGAGTTTTTTTGCAAAGTTCTCCGAGAGTTTCAGCGTGTTTGTATATAGTGTGGAAACCATATGTATGCTCTTTGAACATCTATGTATCTCTTGAATTATTGCGTAATTCGGAATGTCCCAAGAGCAAACAACAAGACGGCCAGCCAATCAGTTGCAAAAAGTTGGGCTCTTTTCTCCTCCGGCTGCCGCCTATTGAACAATAGAAAATGACTAAAAGTATATGATTGACTAGAATCCGACCGGTTTGATTGGAGTTTTGAAAAAAAGAAGAGAGATGGGGACAAAGAGGTGATATTACTATTATTAATGTTTGAGGATGTTTACATTGATGTTTGTTAGATCTGATCGAAGCACAAAGTCTAGACAATGATAATCAAAAAATGACGTTCAACTGTCAGGGAACGAAATCACACAAACGAAGATTAATTTTATATTGAAGATACAGGCTCAAACAACATCTGGTGCCAACTCAACTCATACTGTTTCAGAAATTCTGAAGTCGACATTACAACCCCCTGTTGTTTTTTTTTCACAATTTCTTTTCTCATTCTACATAATCACTAGCGAGTGGAACTTGTTATCAGATTTTTGTTGTTTATTTGTTCGTCTAACCTGCTTTTATATGATTTCATATTGAATCACACATTTTTAACTTCAACTAATAAGTCACAAATCAAGTCAAGTCATATGACTCAGCTTGAACTTATGCAATACAATACAATTCATCTATTCATTGAGCACATGAATGATTGCGGTAAAAAGTCACAAGAAACCCAACACAAACAAAAAATCTATTTGCGCAATCTATTGTTACTGCCGGACGGAAAAATCGGAAGGGCGGAGCGCTTTACGGCAAAACTTCACGCAAACTATGACAACTATAAAAGTGTCTAAAAATCATGGAAAAGTCATCATTCGATCTTTTTTCACTATTCTATAGTCATGAACACTATCATCTCGTGAGTTTCATTTTTCTTTTTTGATTTCTCAATTATCAATTCTAACTTTTTCCTATTTTTTAGTCTTCTCTTCGCTGGTTTGGCACTTTCTTCAGCACAAGTTGCTGTCAATGGACCATTTATGGGACGTTATTACGTCGCAGCTAAACCACTTTTGGCACCTGGAATCGCACCAGTAGCTGCACCACTTTTGGCCCCACCAGCTCCTGTTTTGGCTGCTCCCGCGATTGCTCCAGCTCCACTCTTGGCTCCACCAGCTCCAGTTTTGGCTGCCCCAGCTGTCCCAGCTTTTGCACCAGCTCCAGCACCTCTTTTGGCTCCACCAGCTCCTCTTTTGGCTCCACCAGCTCCAGTTTTGGCTGCCCCAGCTGTTCCAGCTTTTCGCACCAGCTCCAGCACCTCTTTTGGCTCCACCAGCTCCAGTTTTGGCTGCTCCAGCTGTTCCAGCTTTCGCACCAGCTCCAGCTCCTCTTTTGGCACCACCAGTTCCACCAGTTGCCCCAATTGCTCCATTCTTTGCTCCACGACCAGTTTTGGCCTCACCAGCTTTTGCTCCAATTGCTGCACCAGCTCCAGTTTTGGCTGCTCCAGCTGTTCCAGCTTATGCTCCATCTCCAGTTTTGGCTGCTCCAGCTCTTCCAGCTTATGCTCCAGCACCAGTTCTCGCTTCACCAGGAGTTGTTCCAGCTTATGCTCCATTTGCTCGCTCTGCTTTCCTCATCGGAGGAAACAAAGCCAAGAAGATCTCGGCATAGATTCGATGATGATGATATTGTTATGTTTTTTGTCTGTATATAATGCGAACACTCTGACATTTTGTTATTCTTTTTTGTATTATCATTATGTTTTTGAGTACAAAATGAATTTATTTAATTTGAATTTTTGACTTTTTCTGAAACAAAAAAATCATTTTAAAGACCTCTCAATTACCAATCTGGTGGTTGGTATCGGTCGACTCCCAAATGTCAGAAAAAAGTTTCGGCTTGACAATACGAAACGAAACGTAAACACAACTATGTTAAAGGGGGGGGGGGGGGTAAGACGACAAAATTTTTTTGTCGCAAAGTTAAAGGCTCCCCAAAAGTAGTAAAACCTCCAAGGGATTTTTTCTGGAAACGTCCAGAAAAAATGTTCCATAAACTAGGTACCACGTAGTACGTTGAAATTATTCCATAAACTATCGGACAACGTATATACGTTGAAAAAAGTTCATGGAATATTTTTTTCGGACCTTTTTAGGCCTTTCGAGAAAAAAATCCCCTGGGGCTTTTACTATTCAAAGGAAGCCCGATTCATTGAGCAAATAAAATTTTGTCGTCTTACCCCCCCCCCTTTAAAACTAAAAGAGCTCAAAAATTGTTAGTCTAGTTTGAAGCTTTCCATGTCCCAACTTGACGCCATCATTAGTTCGAATTCCTCACGCTAATTTGAAAATACTCACAATAAGTGACCAAAAAACTTTTATCCGATCTGAATCAGCTGATCAAAAAACCTACAAATAAATGTCCCTCATTTGTAGTTTTTCTTTCTCAGTTCTCATTTGTTAATTTGTTAATGTTATTCAATTCGAACGTGTTTCGATTAAATGACAAAAAATTCGAGTCAATTTTTGCGATTTTTTCACGTTACATGTTTATTTTTTGTGCAATATCTCGCAGTTTTCCAAAAAATAACTGTGAGAAATTGACAAAACCGTAAAATGAATCGCCCTAATAGACTCACATTTTCGTCAATCAATTGAAAAAATCACTTCGGTTAATGTATCACCATGTTACATTTTTCAATGAAATTCGAAAAAAACTAAATTTTGAAAAAGTTTGCAAAGAACTCATTTCATTCTTTTTTCTCTTCATTATTTTTTCCAACCTCACTGTTATTCTTCCAAACTAAAAACATTATCAAATTTCTGCGAATTCGAAAAAAGAAAAATCTGGTATTCCTCCCATATTATAAATAATCATATTCGCATCAATATTTACTATCTTCCTCGATTAAATATGGGCGGTGCGCAAATTTCCGCAAACTTTTTTTGCTTTTCGAGCAGTTCTCACCGTCAGAGACTAACACAAAAAAACTATATAAGCAATGAAAAACTATTGGAAAGCATCACAAAAATGCAATCAATCTTCTCGTAAGTTTCAATTCCTTTTTTTTAAATTTTATGAAAATAAAATTCAAATATTCAGAGCTCTTCTTATTGTTGGCCTTGCCTCATCGCAAATTGTCTACGAATCTCAATATCTTGGAAGATATTATCGACCATATTTGGCACCAGGAGTTGTTGAACAACTTGCCTATCCAAGTTATGCAGCAGCTCCAGCATATGCTCCAATTGCTGCACCAACCCCAGTTTTGACATCTGGGGCACTTCCAGCTTTTGCTCCAGCTCCAACTCAAGTTTTGGCTGCTCCAGCACTTCCAGCTTATGCTCCAGCTCCAACTCAAGTTTTGGCTGCTCCAGCTCTTCCATCTTATGCACCAGCTCCAGCATATGCCCCTTCACCAGTTTTGGCCGCCCCAGCTGTCCCAGCTTCAACCCCAGTTATTGCTGCTCCAGCCTATGCTCCAACTCCAATTGTTGCCGCAGCCACTCCAGAACTTGTTCCAGCCTATTCTCCATTTGTCCGATCAGCATATTTCATCGGATCAAACAAAGCCAAGAAAACCTCAAACTAGATCTAATTGTTGATTTTGTTGTTTTAATTTTTGTATATTTTGCAAAACTTTTTCATAAAATATTCGAAGTCCAATTGAGTTTTTGAAAAAGGAAAGAAATATGATGAGTAAAAATTCAAGATTCAAGATTGTTGTTTCGAAGTTTCGTTCATTTTTTGTCAACTCAAGATAACCATTCTCAAAGGTTTTACGAAAATACGACAAAAAACAAAAATGAACCATGTAAATGACTTGAATTCAAGCTGAAAATTGATTATTAGAGACAGAAAAACTTATTAAATCAGGCTTTCTTCAAATTTAGCTTGAGCCAAGTTGTATATTATTAGCTACTTCATAATGATCCAAAAAAGCATTTTTAAACTTATTATGAACTTTTTCCACGTTAAGAAAACAGGAGAAAGGCGACGAATACCTATTCAGGTCGGTTAAGAAAACATACAAATCAAACAATTTCAACACAAAAATTGCGACTAGACGCAACGAAAAACAAAATGTTCCTTTGGCCTTTCGCATTACTGTAAATTGGTCCCGTTCTACAGTATCTCAAAGGCGCACGATGTTTTTGATTGGGTCTCGTCGCAATTTGTGTGTTTGACTGCTTGAGTTTTATGTTTTCTTAACCGACCTGAATAGGATTTTCTTCGCTTTTCTCCTGTTTTCTTAACGCTGAGAAAACATATTTTTTTCGTTGAATAGCCCCATAAAGCGATAATTATCAACGGAATTCTGATATATACATGTATATCTTATCAAAAACAGTGGTGAAAAACTCTTTTTCGGGTTTCTTAATTTCCAAAAGGTTAACCAGATTAGTTTTTCTAAACAAATTTCATCGAATACTTGTTTTCATGATATTATCTCTTTTGAAATCGAAATAGTATAATTTTAAAAAATCGCAACTAGTTCTACAACTAAGTTTCTTTCTTGACACATTTTATGATACATTTTGACATATTCGCGATTGAACAGAATCTAGTGTTTGTTTGCATTGTCTAGATTAGATATCAAATCAAAAATGGGCGGTTCCAAGTTTTCGCATGTTTTGCAACACTATAAAAGCATGAGCTTTGAGCATAAAGATCATCAGATTTTCCTCTTCAATCTTATAATGAACTCAAAAATCTTCTCACTTCTTTTCGCTAGTTTGGCATTGAGCTCAGCTCAAATTCCAGCTCCATACTTGGCTAGATATTTTGCTCGTCCAATGTATTCTCCATACGCTGCGGCGCCACAAGCTTTTCGCTGAAGAATTCATTCCCGGATATGGACCAGCACCAGTTCCAGCCTATAATCCATACTTTGCCGCTCCACGACCAACATATTCACCATATGCAGCTGCTCCAGGATTTGCTACTCCACCTGTTCCAGGATATGGATTCGCACCAGTTCCAATTCCAGCCCAAGCTCCAGCATATGCTCCATACGCTGCTCAAGCACCAGCTTTCTCACCAATTGCTTCAGCACCGATTCAAGGATCAGTATTTGCTGCTCCCCGAGTTGCTCCAATCATTGCTGCTGCTCCAGCTGTTCCTGAATTTGTCCCAGCTTATGCGCCATTTGCCAGAACTGCTTTCTTAATTGGAGCAAACAAAGATAAAAAAGCCGAAAAAGGAAAATTAATTTATAGAAAAAATTGAATTTCTTATAATTTGATGATAATAATGTCTGTAAATAAAGGTTTTTTATTCATTATTGTCAGATTTATTATTTGATTTATTTTTCTGAAATATTCCAACGATTGCACGACGATATGGACCAATAAAAAGCATAGAACACAATGGAGAAATAACTGGAACCAAACCAATAAAATACATCGAGAGAAACTCTTGCCATTTTCTGAAAAAAAAAATCAATTTTCATAAAAGGTCTCCTCTAATGAACTAACAAACTATTTTCAAAGACTGTCACCAAAACACTATTTGCAGCAACTGGAGCAGATAATAAAAGTGGAACGAAAGCTTCAGCAAAAACTGCGTGAACCAACAACTCATTTTCCAAAAAAGTGTCATTTGACATTGAACCTTGTTTTCGTTTCAAAATATTGAGCATAATATGTGCAGACAGCAAAACTATGACATAAGAAAACACATGTGCAGAAACGAAGATTGCGTGAAAAACAATGATCAGTTGATTTTTACGATAGTCATCTCCAATCAAAGCGAGACGATGTTGCTGAAAATTTTAGATTCTGTAATTTCTATTGTATGAGGTTTATTTTTGTACTTTCAAAAACGTTTCTTCGGGAGAATCATTATTTGCATGCGTATTGTTCAATGGAGATTGTGTTGTTCCTAAAGTTATCACACCATTTCCATGATCCATATTTCGAATTTGTTGATTCAAAAATATAGTATTGTTTTCGAATTGTTCAATAATATCAGTTGTTCGATTCAAACGATCAAATAGAGTCTGAAAATCATGTTTTTTCATTTTTTTTTTCATAGAAAAATAGCACTCACGTCATAATCAATACAAGCCTTGTAGAAAACTCCACCTTCCGCACAACAAAACAAAAATGTAATCACAAATGTGATAAGAAGATTTCTTTTGGTGAAAAGTTGACTAAACATAGCATTGTTCGATAGAATTATAGATCGGTAAACAAAGAAAAGAGGAAATGAGAGCACTGCGTAAAGATATATTGCAATTGTACTTGCAGCCATTAGTTGCTGGAAAATATTATTGAAGTTCGAGAAGGAAACTGTGGTATCTCCTTCAAAAGTAATTCTGATACTCACAATTGTTGGATCTGACAAATGTTGAGCGGGACCATGAATAACTCGAATTGTCATTGTTGCTCGAGTCACAAATTGTGGTTGAAGTGCTCCGATACATGCGCTGAACAACAAACCACTCGCAGCAATATTCGAGAGAAAATATCGAAGTTCTCGAATGGTTTCGATGCTTTTATGAGTTGATAAAAACAATAAAATAGCATTGAAAAATATTCCGAGTCCACAAATGGAATAGCAAAAATAGGAGAAAAACGATTGGGGAAGCGCTGAGAACATGACAACTGATGTGCAATATGAAAACTAATATTTTTTGGTATTCTAGATAGATGAAGGGCTCAGCTAAGATTGAATCGGATAAGCCGATTTTGACGCAGATGGATAAATCTTAGATGATTATTTATGTTAGTAATATTTATGAAAAGCATAACAGATTTTTCAGAGAAAAAAATAAATCAAATAGTTTATTATCGCAATATTTACAGACAAATAATATTATCATCAATTCTTCCCATTCTAGACATTGATGTTCTTGGCTTTGTTTCCTCCGATGAGGAAAGCGGAACGAGCAAATGGAGCATAAGCTGGAACAACTGGAGCTGGAGCAGCGAGAAGTGGAGCTGGTGGAGCAAGAAGTGGTGCTGGAGCAAAAGCTGGAACAGCTGGGGCAGCCAAAATTGGTCGTGGAGCAGCGAGGATTGGTGCTGGTGGAGCCAAAAGTGGAGCTGGAGCAGCGAAAACTGGACGTGGCGCAAAGAGTGGAGCTGGAGCAGCGAGAATTGGGGCAGGTGGGGCAAGAAGTGGTGCTGGAGCAGCGAGAATTGGGGCAGGTGGAGCAAGAAGTGGTGCTGGAGCTGCCAAAACTGGTGCTGGAGCTGCCAAAACTGGTGCTGGAGCTGCCAAAACTGGTGCTGGTGCAGCCAAAACTGGAGCAGCAATTGGTGCAACTCCTGGTGCTAAAACTGGTTTAGCTGCGACGTAATAACGTCCCATAAATGGTCCATTGACAGCAACTTGTGCTGAAGAAAGTGCCAAACCAGCGAAGAGAAGACTAAAAATAATAGAAGAATTCAAAAAAAATTACATTTTCAATAAACTTACGAGATGATAGTATTCATAATGATTTGTTTTGTTAGAAACCAATAAATCGTTGATACAAAATGATCGGAGCACAACTCTTTTATACGAAATAATAAATGAATATAAAAACTAGAACTAGTCCGTCTAGTGTTACTTTCTTTTTTGCCGCAGCCATTGCGCGAACAATCTGTGCGGAACCAATGACAAAAGCATAAAGTAAACACTGGAATTTTTATAGAAAAAAATGAACCTTTAGGGATCACATTTTTTTGGCTAATTGAACAATTGAAAGTCAAGCTTCACCATTTGTCAAAAAAAAATGATGTGACAGTTTTGTTCTGGATGAAACATTGAATATTATTTTTTAGTAGAAAATTTGGTTTTTCAGAAATACTTCTTTTGAAATAAGTAAATTTTTAGTCATTACAATGCGAATTCATAGAAGCTTACGAAAATTAATTTTATTTTCTTCTCGTTCTAAAAATGTGGAAATCAGTTTTATGGATAAACACAGCGCTCCAACAACATGGTTCCGTGATTTCTATCATTTTTGGAAAAAATACACAGTAATTGTTATTGGAGTAGAAAAAGAGAAAAGAATCGAATCGATCAAATTCAGAAAAATACTTGAGAAAAAGAATGTTTCAGATACAATTATCTAAAAAAAATTGTGAATTAAACTATCAGTAAGAAAATTTTATTCATATCGTCTCAAAATTGAAAAAAAACAAAATGGTTATTCAGTTGGAAATACTTCTCACAGAACTCATACATCATTTGCTCGACAAAACGCCATGAAAAAGTACCGAGAGATTTTTCAACTTCAAGATGAATACAAACATTTTTTATCTTGATGTCTAAAAGCTGTGAAATTTGAACTAGTTCGCGCGTGAAATGAATTCACAGATTTACAATCTAAAATCATTTTATATCCCAACATCCTGAGTAGGAGCTGTTTAGAAAAAAATGAGAACAAAATTTCAAAAATGATTTTATTTACACAAAACGAATAAATATTATGAGATACGATAAATTTCTTATTTCTCTTCCGCCGATTTTTTTGGCAACAAAACCGCTTGAATATTTGGCAAAACACCTCCTTGTGCAATAGTTACACCAGCCAACAATTTATTCAATTCCTCGTCATTTCTGACAGCCAATTGCAAATGTCTCGGATTGATTCGACTTTTCTTGTTGTCTCTTGCTGCATTTCCAGCCAATTCTAAGACTTCGGCAGCTAAATATTCGAGAACTGCGGCCAAATAAACTGGAGCTCCAGCTCCAACACGACGCGCATAATTTCCTTTACGTAAAATACGATGAAGACGACCAACTGGGAATTGAAGTCCGGCTCTTGATGAACGAGACTTCGCCTTTCCACCGGTCTTTGCTTTTCCTCCCTTTCCACGTCCAGACATTTTGATATTACTGAAAACAACAAAAATGATGAGGTGTACCAAAAAAATCGAATTTTCGAGACATTTTCTAAAATATGTACATTGAAAAACATAAAATAACACTATTCTCAACAAAAAAAAACCAAAACCACAATGGAAAAACCTCGATCAATGCAAACGAAAAAGTGTCAGCAAAATGTCTGCTTCTCTCACGCGGAATAGGCGTGTCTGTCGACCGCTGGCGGGTATAAATAGTCATTCTATCGACCGGCGTCCTCTCTCATTTCTTCTTTTATTTATTCTATTTTTTGCGAAAAAAAAAGAAAATGGCGCCACCAAAACCATCAGCTAAAGGAGCCAAGAAGGCAGCTAAAACCCAAAAACCAAAGGGGGAACGTAAAAGACACGCCAAGAGAAAGGAATCGTATTCGGTATACATTTATCGAGTCTTGAAACAAGTGAGTTTTCCAGAAATTGTGTTGATTCTATTCATACAGAAGAGTTTTAGGTCCACCCGGATACTGGAGTTTCATCCAAAGCCATGTCAATCATGAACTCTTTTGTTAATGATGTTTTCGAGAGAATCGCTGCCGAAGCTTCGAAATTGGCCCATTACAACAAGCGATCAACAATTTCATCACGCGAAATTCAAACTGCTGTCAGATTGATTTTGCCAGGAGAATTGGCCAAGCATGCAGTTTCTGAAGGTACCAAAGCTGTCACAAAATACACATCATCCAAATAATTTTTTGTATTCTTGTTTGCTTGTATTTATAAACTTGGTGTACTTATTTATGATGATGAAAAATAATAATAAATGATCTTCACGTTGACTTTTTTAGAACAATATCAGAGAAAAATACAAATATAAACATCGCAACTTCCCAAAGTCAGACACACAAACATCTGTTTTGAACACCATTTTTCGCGCCATTTCTTTGCCCCGCCCACTTACTATATAAAACCAGGTGATACATTTATTCATCAACAATTTCATTGTTCCTTGAATATTATCGCTCCTACAAAAATGCCAAAGAAGAACTCAAAGAAAGTTGCTCTTGAAGAAAGCCAATTTGCCAATTTATTAGCAAGTGTAAGTTTATTTTATTTTTTATCTAGAAAATATATATCATTCTGAAAATGTTTAGGTTCTGCCTGCTGGTATGCAACTCGATGCATCTGTAATGGCTGCACTTCAGCAAGCCACAAATCAAGAATTGAATCAAGTTTTGACACAAAAAGCTGCTGAAATTGCCAAAACTCCGACAACATCAGGCCAGGAAAATTCTCAACAACAGCAACAATAAATCTAAACATTTTCCATCGGGTTTCCTGTGCTTTACTGATCTCATAAACAATTAATGTTTCTATTTTTAACCTGTATACTATTTTTACATCCCTAGAATTTGGGAGTTTTTGAATCGGACTAGGTCAGATTTTGAATTTGTCTGGATTGGATAAGGAGGAAAATATTTTTTTCATAATTAGATTCAGATTTTTCTCAAAAAAACGGTTTCAAAAAATAAATTTTCTCAATTTTCATTCGTCACTAACATTTCTCTGTGTCTCTTTTTCTCTCGTCGAGGTGTCCCCGCACGGTGGTTAAGATAAGCTCCGCCCCCTAGTCGACTTTTCTCGTCTAACCCAGTTTTCACTACATTCGTCGACTAAAAACAGCTAATTTACTACTAAAAATGTCGGGACGCGGAAAAGGTGGAAAGGGACTCGGAAAAGGAGGAGCCAAGCGGCACAGAAAAGTTTTACGTGATAATATTCAAGGTATTACCAAAGTACGTTGAAGAATTTTTAATTTATGTCCTGAATTTCATCTCACAATTTTTTCAGCCAGCCATTCGTCGTTTGGCTCGTCGTGGTGGAGTAAAACGTATTTCTGGATTGATTTATGAGGAAACACGTGGAGTTCTCAAGGTGTTCCTCGAAAATGTGATTCGTGATGCTGTCACATATTGTGAACACGCTAAAAGAAAGACTGTGACAGCAATGGATGTTGTTTATGCTTTGAAAAGACAAGGAAGAACTCTCTACGGTTTTGGTGGATAATTTTTATTAATATTTCAATCACATTTTCTTATTTATGATGATACTCAATGAATATATTATTAGTAAAGAATATCTAACTGACTATATGATATTAGACCCAATTTTGAAAAGAATATATAATTTTTGGAAAAAGACGAAGGAGAAGTGAAGTTGTTGTTGAATAATAAAAACCCGATTACCTTCGACTTCCTAGAATAATTATATTGAATTTTTTAAATCATACTGCTGATGGTTGTTGACCTTCTCCTCTTTCTAGCAATTTTTGCTCATCTTGTGGAAGTGAAACATATTGTTGACTCGATTTCTTATCCATAACACGTTTTTGAACGTATGTATACATGGCTGATCCAAAAAGTACGACAAAGTTGCTTGTCCACCAGAGCATAGTTTTGACTTCGCTGTACCAGGCAACAGCCATGACAGTTTGAGCAGCGGCTTTAGCGGTTCCAGAAATGTTATGGGTTAGTGGGGAAGTTGCTTGAATTTGCCAGCCGGTAACATAACCCATCATGAAACCAAAAACACCCGAAATAGTCATTAAAAACCAAAATGTTAGATCCATCAGGCGATCAAAGTACATAATTGCACCGAATTCGCCATTGAAAAGCATTAGTGGAAGGAAAAGAACGAGAGCATTAAGATTGTTATACATTGTAAGACGCCAAAGACAATCACCAACACTTGACAAAACTCTGAAAATATTTCATATTTCATTTCAATGAATCACATTTTCTGGAATATTACCTTTTTGTATAGATCGCATTCAATGCGACTGACAAACTGGCTAAAACTCCGAAAATAACTCCAATCATTGAAAGTGATCCAGTTGCATCTTCTTGGTCAACTCCAAGGAAGAATCCGAAAATGATAAGTGCGCAGCAAGCAATTGCTGATCCGGAGGTTGTACTTCCAAGGATCAAATACGAACAAATAACATTGAAAACAGTAGTTAGACTTCGACCGACATAATAGAAGCTAACACCAACGTGTTTTAGACAAAGATTATTGAATGAAATCATTGCAACAAATACGATCGATAGTGGAAGTACCTTAACATTTTAAATTTCAATCTGAACTGTTTTAATGGACCAACCTCTCGACTAATTTTCACATCTAAAGGCATTGCAGGAAATGTGAATTGTCCGGATGATTTTGAAAGTTTGCTCAATCCTAAACAAAGAGCCACAGTCACAAGACATTGGAACCATGTAATAAACAAAGGAGCTTCGAGTTTCACATTTGACAACAAGTATTTGTTCAAAAATACAAGACCAATCGAAAAAATCCTGGAAAAATATAAGAATTTATATTATCAAAAACATTTCAGAAACAACTCACCAATATGCTGAAACAGCCGTCATCACATTTTTATAGCTTTCCCATTTTGTTTGCGACATTTTTCAATCGCAAAAACAATAGAAATGCAAATTACCGAGTGCAAACAAAAAAATAAAATAAACGTGGAAAATGAGATGGAAGAGAAAACTCAAAAGTCCGGCCATCCCTCATTTTTTCGTTTTTTGATGAAAAAATGTTTCAAGAAAACGATATTGTAATTGTTATGTGATAGAAAATATATTAGAGAACACGCGGATAAGTTAGTGACTTTTGAATGATTAGTAGTTTTGGTGACGATTTGATTTTTGATTGAAAAAATTACTAGATGGCCTAGGAAACCAACACATTATTTTTTCATTTTCTGAGTTTTTTGATAAGAGTTTTTGAGAATGGAGCCTGAATTGCCAGAATTCGACGAATCAATAAGTTTCACGAAATCGAAATTGACAATTAGAGTAAGTAAATTTCACACTCCTTTCTAAAAGAACAACAAATAATTTTCAGACTTCTAATAGAATATTAGAAAACTATCCGATTACTGAATCTGAAGTGACAAAATTATTTGATCCCGAAGAATTAGAAGGTGGAGATATTGATAATTTCTTTGTGTTTGTGAGTTCGTTTTGAGTAATTAAATAATTAAATTTTAAAATTAGTAATTTTCAGTGTAATTTATTATTGAAAGTTTGGAGATATTGTTTTTATTATCAAGTTAAACCAGAAAAATTAGCGAATCAATTGGAAGAAAAACATTTTCCTACTTCAGTTATCAAAGGAATATTAGAAGTTTGGAGCAGTGACCAAATACCAAAAATATTCGAAAATCTTGCGAGTTTTTCTTTCAGTGGTGTTCCAAAAGTGAAAGACACTCAATGGATATCTCAAAAAGTTCTAGCCAGGTAATTACATTATTATTCTCGATTTCACCAGATTTGAATAACATTTCAGAAATGGTGTAGAAGTTCAGGATGAACATCAGGCCATTTTATTATTTGAAACAACTTCCGGCCCTCAACGAGTTCAATTATCAGCAAAACAATTGGAAGAATTATATTGGACCACAAATAAAATTCAGAAATCACTCGATAATTTATTAGAGCATCGCTAAACATTTTGTGAAAATTTGTAAATATATGAACCTATTTGAATCTATTTATGAATTTCTCAAAAATTTTTCATAAACTACCGGATATGTTTTTGCAGCGAATTTAGCAAACTCTGCATCAGAAGGCCTCAAAAAATCATTCAAATCTACAAGTTCAACATTTTCTTTCGATGTTTCAGCTTCTTCCAAAGGTGTTCGATCATTTTTTGATTCTTTTTTCTCTGCTAATCGATAATTTGATCTTCCCATTTTCTTCAGAAAATCATGGCGAGTTTTTAATGAACTAATTGAGCATCGAAGTATAAATGGATTTTCCATAATTGTTTCATTATTTATCCGCATAACATCTCGAATAAATCGATAGTTCCTTGAGATAAGTTTAGCATCTGCAGAAAAATATTGGTTGAAAAATTATTTTTAGAAAGGGAGAAAAGCTTACCCATCATAAATAATCGAGGATCATCAATTATCAATTCTTTGAGTTGATTTTGTGAAAAATTAAACTCTTTCAGAATCATTTTTATAATTCTTTCGATTGGTCCAGTTCCAAACATAATTATCCTTGGTTCTTTCACTATTATTTCCCTTGTTGCTTTTGCAGTCAATTTGAATTGTTGTTGAATCCATCCAAGACGAGAATCTATTAATTTTACACCACAATTCAACCAATATCGATATTCTTTCACAATTTTCAAGATTTCCTTGGGCTGAAATTTCTTGAGTTCCAAATAATTCAGCCGAGCTCGCATATCATTAACATCTTGCAATAGAAAAAATGGATTTCTTGTCAAATATTCACCAATTTCCGAATCTTGAAATCCAACTTCTTGCATAAGTTCGATTTTTGATTTGATGTCTTCGATTCGAAGTCTCATTAAATATTTTCCAATCGCCGGATTCGAATTTTCAATATCAGCTAAATTTGTTCCAATATCAATCAAAAATCGGAGAACTGGTGAATGATTAACAAATGGAACCAAAGAATGTGAATAAACAGGTGGTAAATCATTTCCATTAAATGGATGTGGATTTTCTGGAGATGGCGGTTCATTCAAATTACTATTGTCCAACTCTCCATTTGAATAAACTATTTTTCGAAATGTCGCTACTCCAGTTTCCAACTTTTTTCGATGTGCTTCTGCTATTTTCGCTGATGTCAAAGGCTCTTCAAATATTTTTAAATCTGTTGAAGATGAAGGTGTTTCTTCGCCAAACTTTTTCATTATTTCTGAATTGTTTTCCTCGTCTGTCAGATTGTTTTGTAAAGAGATTTCCGTGATTGTTTGAGTTGGCAGAGGCTTAAAGGTTGATTTTTTTGTCAAAATCAGAAAAATAACAGGTGATACTCACATTACTCGAACAGCATCGTTTTCCGATCAAACATCTAATAACTCGAATCATACTGAAATAATCTTTCTAAAAATTACTCTGGCTCATGTCAGATTTTTATTTTGAAAAAAAAATATATTCGGTTTCGAAAACCTGATTGAAAAATACAAAAGTGATAACTTTCAATAATTTTATTACAACCTGTTTCTATTAACCTGATCAATTACAAAACCAATAGCATAATATACATTTGGTGGACCAATCAAATTTTGTTTGAAAAGTGAAGGGAGTGCAGAAAATGGAATACGAGTCTCATTTTGATTTTGAGAATTTTTGACATCAACTAGGAATATGTGTTGTGTATCTCCACTCTGACCAATGCCGGGACTGAAAATGACAATGAATAAATAACAAATATTTCTTGTTTTTGTTTTTTCTCTGACAGACAAACTTACACAACTTTGGCGATCAATTTGGAGTTTTTCACATCCTTATATCCAATTGTTTCTAAATGTTGTTTTAATTTGATTTGTGGATCTTCAAAATCTGGAACTTTTGCAGTCACAAGTTCCAAGGTTACACCTTCCAATGGATTCGCCTTGGTAAAATCAATACTCTCCAAACTTTTTCCGATATTCTCTTTTGCATTTCGAAGTTTTCCAACGAGAACTTGAACCCTTTGAAGTTCTAGCAAAATTAGTTCGCGTTTCTCCGAATCAATAAGAATAGCAGCAGCACTACTTGGGCAAAGTGCCAAATCCCATGTTCGTTTTATTCCGTTTATTGTGAAGTTCATACGTTTTGGATTGTATCCATATTTGGTTTTATCAAACTCTGATGAAAATCTGATATTTGAAACTGATTTTACTGGCCGTGGAATCCAATTGAAGTTGGAATTTTCGAGCATTTTCAAACGATCCTTTAAAAACCACCATTGAAATGCAAAAAGAACACCAGGAGGTCCGTTGATTTCTGCGTATTCATTATTTTCCGAAGCGTAGACATAATGACGAGCTTGTTCTAATGTAACATAAACTTTTGTGATTACTTCACCTTCATGAACATTTCCACCACCTTCACTGATTTTTTTCGAAGAATCAATCTCTGCATAGAATAAATATTGAGCATTTCCTGATTGATGACTTCCAACACTAAAATATTATTATCCTTGAACATAATATTAATTCGAAAATCTCAACCTACATAAATGTAGCGATAGGTGTTAATTTGTCTACTTTGTACCCGCATTCCTCTTCAACTTCTTCAAATGCAATTTGTTCTGGTGTAAGTCCTTCCTTATCAATTAATCCGGCACATAACTCCATCGTATACCCACATTCTGTATCGTATTCTTCCCATTTGATATCACTATAATCTTTGCCATAATTCTCCTTGTTTTTCAAAATTGTCGAAGTAAACATTGCAGGTCTGAATTGTCGAACTAGTAAGAATTTTTGAAGGTCGGTGTCAAATAGAAGAATAGCAACACTTCCCATTTTTACGTTGAATTCTCCGGTGTGCACTTGACCATCCTACGAGAAACATATACTTTCAAAATGTTTTTTATTCTTTAAACTCACTATTTCATAAGTCATCTCCAAGCCTCGTTGGTATTTCGAAACAAAATTCGATATGTAAGACACATTTTTCAATTTTCCCTCCACCATTTCACTCTGAAAATACTGAAAAACTTCAAACGAAGATTTTTTGGGAGAAAATTGCGAAAAATAAAAAGTTCTCCGAGAGAAATACACAAGTCGGTCATTTGTCGGATTCTAGGCCATCGCAAACAAAATGATAGAAATGTTTTTATGAAACCTTTTTCTTCTGCTAAAAAACTCAAGGAATGATAAAGAGATGCGAAGAAATTATCAGATTCAAAAAGGCCACAGTGTTTACGTTTTTATTTTGAAAAAATGACTCTCAATTTTCCTTTTCTCCTTTATTTATTACATCTTTTTCTCAATAAAAAAATGAGATATTACTGTATACAGCTGTAAGTAGTTTACTGAAATTTCAGCTAAAATTAGGTTTTCCTGACTTTATGGTAAATTAAAACGATTCCTAGAGATATTAAATGTTTATAGACATAACATTTTTCGTTGTCTGGAAAAGAATTCATGATGCAAAAAAAGTTGTCAATACAGCTGAATTGAATCGGTCACACTTGAAAAATAGGAAGAAAAATTGATGATAGATAATTATTTTATTTGTTGGAGAAAAATACTTGTTCGTCATCGCTCAAATAATTATCTGTGATGTAATCAACGGCGTTATCAAGAGCTTGTTCCCAACTGTGAGCAGCTGTGAATTTTGTATCATTAGAAGTATCTTCGTCGGAAATTCTGATCAATAGTTGCTCGATTCTGAAATGACTCATTTAATAGTTTTCTATGCGCGATAAGAAAACGTTGCTTACCCATCAACAACGATTTTTGCATGATTTTCTCTGAACCATCGTTTCAAATCTGGAAGTTGATATTTTGGTGGTCGAATATCCACCAAAGTGTAGAAATATTGATGAAAAACTTTCATGTATGTTCGACGTTGAAGTTCTGTGTCACCAGATGAAATTATCAGATTTGTTAGATCTTCAGCAGGATTTCCAAGATGAATATTCTCCCAATCAGTAATTTCGACAATTTTTCCATTCTCATTAAATCGTATGTTTTCGGATTTCAAGTTTCCATGACAAATAACACGTAAATGATCATCTTCAGAAGAAGATTCTGAATTACTGTGTAAATGATGGATTAAAATCGAAACTTTTTCGAGAACTCGACTTGGTGCTCTGAAGAATTTCGATGTTTCTTCAGCAGTTACTGCAAGATCTAAAACTTGAACAAGTTCTTTTTGAATCTTTCTTCGATATGCTTTGATGTTTCCGAAATTTTCTTCCACAGCATTTTCAAATTCCACTTTCAAAGCATCTGATTGAACCGCATGTATTTTTGCAACAATTCTCGCAATTTCTTCAAAATCATGTAGGTCTAAGAATTTCGAGTATCCTCTTGTGTATTTTGTAAGATATACTGAGTACTTCTGCCCTTCATCCGACACTTGAAACGCATTGAAAAATCTTGCAGAAGGAATTGAAGCAGCCAAATGTTTTGATGAATTTATAGCTTCATGCCAAAATCGAGAATTGTAGAAAGCAGCCTATAAAAATGAGTGGGACATTTCAAATTATTCAAAAAAAAAAAAAAACTTTTTGATGCGCTATTTTTCCAACTCAATTGTTTATTCTTTTCTATATGCACCTTTCAATTCACCCACTATTCTTTTTTAGACACATTTTCCTTTTCTTCTTTTTGCTTTGTTTTCGAAACAAAAACAAAGCAGACAAAAAAATGATGTGATCCTATAGATTCATTCAAAGAAATCGTCTTTTTTGATGAAAAACCAAATAAATTGTCCTTTTTCGCGACGCCCGCTCAATTTTTCATTTTTCAATGCACATACCAATTTAGCGCCTTCTTCCAGTTTCACATTTAGAAATTGAGAATCTTTGACGAGTTGAACTCGATAGTTTTGATCTTCTGTCGGAACCTGAAGTTTTCAATTTTTCATTGGTTTTTTAAAATTATATTTTTCAAAAAACTTCTCAGAACTTGAAAATCTGAAATTATATTTCAGACTTCTCTTGCAATATTAACACATTCAAGTATTAACATAAATCATAGAACTTTAGTATTGATTTACCATGACGTCATCAATTTTGAAAAAAATGATGTCATTTTTTTCTCTTGAAAAACTAATAAGATTAAAATTCAAGTCGACAGACGACTACAAAATCAACAAAAGATCTTCCATTTTTTCATTTGCATTATCTGTGTATTTAGACAGATATTCCAAAAATCAGATTTTTTGGTTTTTGGTTATGAAAAAACACTGAATTTTTTTGCAAACTTTAAAAGCACTAACCTCTAGTTCAACTATTGTCACCCCATTAATCGATGCATTTGGTTCGAGCTCTCGAAAATGCTCCAAACCCAAATGACGAGCAACAAGTCGTGTAATTTGCATGACTATTTGTTTCAAAAATGAAAGATGCCAGCAGAAATTATCGACGACAAAAAAGTTGTTATCAACACAAAATTGTGTCGTAACATTATTTCCAAAAATGCAAATAAAAAATTTTTTTGCTGATGCTTTTTCAATTTTTTATGATACTCTTCTTTAGATACTGTATGGGTGGGGTGGGACCTAGTTTTTTGTTGTTTTCATTTTTTTGACGTCATAAACACCCACTCACGGGGTTTTTGGGTTTTCACTACTCACTAACATTTATAAACACATCGATGTAGTTCTTTTTTTATCACAGGCGATTAAAATTCTTGACATTTTTGCTGCACCAGATTAGTTCCAATCATTGCTTTGCTTATTTGATTTTTCTCCGTTTGTTAACCTAATTGTTTTTGAGCATTGAAGTTTTCTGATCTTTTTTATTCAGTTTTTTCCGCAACGATGAAACTTCTCTTCTTTATTTTTGGAATTGTTATGTTAACAGCAGCTAGATATTTGGAGGATATTAATGAGGTTGAATGTAAGTTTTTTTTTTTGAAAACCCTATTAAGAATATACACAGTATTCCAATCGATAATGTTTTCAGGTTCAATAGTAGCAATTCTATCAAATCTTCGAGAAGAATCAGATGAATGTAATTTGAAAAATCTTATGACACCAGAAAAACCTCCAGCTATAAAATCATCAACAAAACGTGACATCAAAAAACTTCCATTTTTACCATGTTAGTTTTTTTGGAATTCAAATGATTCCTAAATTATTTCATTTTTTTCAGCTTGTCTTCCAAATGAGCAATGTCGAGTGAATGGTCGAAGAACATGTATATGTGCTCAGAAAAACATATGTGAACCTGAACAAGGAAATCAAAAATATTCTTGTGTAGCATTCAGCTATTTTCTATAATTTATGTCAAATAAAGCTTTATTTATTAAAATTCAATACGATGTTTCTCTTATTTTCCAAAACCTCGTGACAAACCGGAAATGATTTTATAATCTGGAACTGGAAAACAAAAATAAATAGCGTGACTACAAATTTTTCAGTTCTCGAAAATATCATACTGTAGAAAGACCTTATTAAGTGGAATCATTTTTTTCCTAAATTCCCCTAAAACCGGCAGTCTGTTTAACAAAACAATTCCATTTTTTTTTCAAAAATCATCACATTTGAATGTTTTCGATTTTGTATTTATGTATTCAGCAATCAAAACTCAATTGTGTGTTTTTTTTTCTGAAAAACTGAAAGTGAGCCATCAATAAATATTCTCGATTCCAGAAAAAATCTTCACCTGACAATGAATGAAACAAAAACCAAAAAGAGCGATAAGTTTCAAATTTCTAGTGTGCGTGATTCATAGCACTTTGTGCATTTTTTATTTTTCCTTGATTTCTCAAAAATCCCTATTTATCTTTCTTTTTTTTCGAAAAAAAAAGTTGGCTTCCCTCTAGTTTGACATCATGAGAAACGAAAAAAAAATAATAATCGAATTACAATACCTTGTTTAACCCAAATTCCCCATAGGAGTCGAAAAAGAACTAATTATGTACAGATAATTGGGGCACCAAAAACAGAAGAGTCCACAATTATTTTTGTTATGTTATTCGAAAAGTGAGTGGGAGATGACTAATATTAGATTTTTCTTCTTTCTCAAATCCATTAAAAAATACATTTTCATCCAAAAAATGATGGGCTTGAAAATTGTTTTATTCTCCTTTTTCGTTCGTTTTTCCATTTTCGAAAACTACAAATATTCGTTCGTTCTTATTCAATTTTTTTCTGGAGTTCTTTTCTTCTGAAAAAGTGTGTTTCGAATTTTGAAACCTTTTCTTTTTAGCTTGAATTTCATTTTTGAAAAATTCATGTTCTATTTTTTTCGGAACAAAATAGAAATTTGTTCAAAATTAAATGCTTGTAATTCTTCCGGACAAAGAGATTCCGCAATTTTTATGTACTATTGTTACAAAGAACTTTAGGAGAAGAACTATGAACTTCATAAAAAATTCCTTAAAAAAATAGATGTGTGGTTTTTTCGGACACAATTCAAGTTGGTAGAATTTTTTTTGGAAAATTTATAATCAGGAGTGTGCTAGAAGTTTTCCGAATTTTCTGATTCGTGGAATTTTTCTTTTGAGTTCTCAATATTCGAATTTTTTCAATCTAATTAATCTCTGATTTTTACGTATTCTTCATTGGAATCGTTTTTATTGTAGGGAAATACAAAACTTTGTGCAATTATCAAAAACACGCCAGCAAAACATGAATCAAAATCCAAAATTCTCTCACAATCAAAAAATCCCCGTTATTTTGCTCAGTTGCCGATGAATTCGTGAAACCCTAGTAAATAGGATTTCAGCATCATTTTAATATTAAATATTCCAAGAATTTTCCTCATCTTAAAAAAAGGATTATCATTATTTTTCTCGATTTCAAGCTCCCCTTATCAATACATATTAACATAGATAATCTTATTTCAATAATCCCTCATTTCTTCTGATGATATTCAAGAAAATATGTCATTATTTTACTTTGCAAAAGTCTCGGCGATGACGTCTTGAACGAAATAAAATCCAAACCAACAAAAATTAATTTTATTCTCGAAGCACTTTTTGTTCACTCACTCACATCCCATTTTTTCTTCACGCCACATTTTCCCAGTCGTTTCAGGAGAAAATATTGGAGAGGATAATCTGAGAATGTGAAAGCATTTTCTGGAATCCCTTTCTTTCTTTCTTTCTTTACAAAAATGATAATCTGTTTTTGAGGTAGAAAAAATAGAAGAGAGAAATCATGTGAAAATAATAATAATAGGAATAATAGAAGAAGGAGGTGAGCACTTTGAATACAAAAAGATTATCCTCGTCACCTTTGTTTTTTTGGCGGATTTTGTTGATGGCTTCTTCGATTGATGTCATTAGAAGTTCGGATTAAGTATAAAGAACGTTCATCACTTCCTAAATTCTTATCAAAATTTTGAATACTCACGGAAATTTAGAAGATAAAGAATACAGTTTCAAATAACTTTAAAAAAACTAGTTCTTAGATTCTAGAAATTTCATGGAGTTTAGAATGTTTTCATAATCGAACTCTGAAAACCCGTTATTTTTTACAAAATTCTTAAAACTATGGGATTTTCAAATTCCAACAAAACAGTTTCAAGGTCGAAGAACGCTGATAATTTCTTAAAAACTTCCGATTGAATATCCGGAATCAAACATTCCATGGCTAGTTTCCAGGCAAATTTTTCATTTTTTTTCCAGAAAAAAATTTCATCTCACAAGTTGGCTTGTTCATGAATTTTTCTTGGAACTGATTGTGAAGTTATTCTATGTTTTGGTTATTTTTTTGGTGAAAATCAAGATTTAGGATTTACGAAAGAAAATCTCGTGGATTTTTAATATTTTCTCATAACTTCCGAATTTGTGAAGTTTTTTTTTCATATTCTGATTGAGCAAAGATCTCACGGACTTTTAGAATACGACACGATTTCTAGTCAGTGTCTAGTTATTGTAATTCTCTAGATGGATATTTTAATTGTTTTGCAGATTTCAAAATAATTTTGTTTTTAGGACACGAGGAATTCTGATTTCACTGCAAATAAATTGGAAATGACTTCATAGGTGTTCTAAAAAAATTTTCACGTTATGATTAGAAAAATCGTAATACGTCATTCAATCAGAAAAAATACCAATTTAATTTTCAGAAACGAAAAACAATTATTCACATCAGAAATTGATTGAACATTCTTGGGCCTGTGATATTTTTTTCAGGACTCACTTCACTTCAAATCAAAACCGTTTTTTGTCTCAAGAATCATTTTTTTGTTCTGCTCTCATCTCAAAAATGTTTAATTTCAAACCACTCGAAAAACCCTTGCCAATCCAGTCAATTTCAATGTTCCTTCCTTCTTTTCCTCCCAAAAATAGACATTTTTCTATCAGAAAACATGACAACTTTTTGCATTGCATTTTATATCATCTTGTCATTTTTCCTTCCCACAACTTCCAGTTTTGCCGTGCTGGAATTCCTAATTTTATAATTTCAATATATAATTATATTTCTTGATAACCACTGCCTTACCTTTGATAAATTTTGGTAAGCAGAAAAGAAAGCCACACCCAGAAAAAATGAAAAATATTTAGGCTCCGCCCATTTGAGCGCTTTCTGAGCCAGAAAATATTCATTCCTCAACTTCTTCGTTTTTCCAGTCAGTCTGTATCAAATTCCATTATTTATGTTTTGAGTATAAAAATAAATAGGTTTAGGCGAAAAAAAACTATTTATTTATGAAATAATAATAATTGTTTTTCATTCTTACTCTACTTCTTTTTCTGATATTTGTTATACAGTAAGACTTCTTCTTCTTTTTGTTTTTTTTTCTCAAATATAAATCAGATTAGCCTTTTCTTTTCTGGTTTGGGGATTAGATGACTACGGTAGAGATTATATAAATTCGATATCAGATTCATAACTCCAGTCATTTTTCTTTTGCCTTTCCTGAAACTTTTATTAAAATATTTTTTTGAGATGTCAACTTATCAATGGGTACTACTTTGTGTTGTGGTGACATTGGTGGCGGCTCAATTCGATGGTGAGAAAGAGAAACGCAAGAGTGCTTACATGAGATTCGGAAGATCAGATCCGGAAATGATGGAGAAACGGAAAAGTGCCTACATGCGGTGAGTAAATAATAATAACTTGTTTTGTGACTGCATAGATAAAATATGATTCTTCGAGAATTCAAATAAGAATTATAGTCACCACATTTATTATTTGAATTTCCTCCGGAAAGGAATACAATTTTCATTTTCAGCCAATTTTTGTTCTGACGAGAAATGAAAAATAGTTTTTTCTCTGTTTGATTTGCCGAAAAAAACGGCAAGTGTGGGAGAAATTTATTTTAAGTTGAATAAAGATTTGACATAACAAAAACGTAAAAATTGGAGTACTGTGGGATTTGAGAACATTGTGAAAAAAACAATGCGTACTTTCAAGGATTTGCCGGATTACCTGACTACTGTAGATTAGGTCATGAGTGTTTTGATGGAAGAAAATCGGATTTAAAAATTTTTGAAAATACATCCAAATACGAGTTCTACAGTAACCCAAGTCTAATCTCTTCCCACGCAAGAAACCTCACACGACTTCCTATTTTAGACAAAAAAAACTTGAGACTGACTAACTGATCTTGATTTTTAGAAAAAAATCTGTTTATCAACTTTCCCGGAGAGCAAGCATAATCTTATTATCAGCCCACACAGAAACCCTTTAAAAATAAATGTCAGAAGCCTCAAAAAATCCAAAAATATCTCACATATTAATAATCCATAATCAAACGGAATATTTTCCCACGTTTCTCGTTTTTTTTTCCCTCAAAATCTTCCTGGTCCGCAAAAAAAGTAGTTTAGAAAAGAAGTAGTAAATGGAAACTTGAATAATTACAACATCACATGAGATATATTTATTTTGCATAAATGTGTAGGAGAAATGTCTAACATAGAAAAATTATCATCATTTCATGATTCATAATTATATTTGTAGATTTGGAAAACGTTCTGGAGATGAAGGAGTTGAAGTTGAAGATGAGGATCACGATATGATGAAAAGAAAATCAGCATATATGAGGTACAAATCAAACTTGAAGGAGAATACATTCCAAAAAAACACAATTTTTCCAGATTCGGTAAAAGATCAGATTCTGAATTGCAACAAGAAGAGGATCACGAATTGGCCAAGAGAAAATCAGCTTACATGAGGTATTTGGTTGTTTTGTTGAATTTTAAGATGCATGTTTTTATTTTTTCAGATTTGGCAAAAGATCAGCGGCCGAAGAACTCGATATGGAAAAAAGAAAATCGGCTTATATGAGGTATCACACAAATCTGATTAATTTTGCTAATGGAAGATTTTCAGATTCGGAAAACGTTCGATTGATGATGGACTTGAAATGGAGAAGAGAAAGTCGGCATACATGAGATTCGGAAAACGTTCATTCGAAGAAGGTGTTGAGGAACCAGAAGAGCGCGAGATGGAAAAAAGAAAATCAGCATACATGAGGTAACCCAGATAAACTTCTATAGATATACAATACGAATATATTTTTTGCAGATTCGGAAAACGTTCATTCAACGAAGATTTGGATATGGAAAAGAGAAAGTCGGCCTATATGAGGTGAGAAAACTAAAGAAAAATTAACAAAAAAAAATGAATTTTCAGATTTGGTCGTTAATTTTGTTTTCCTTTCCGGTGATCCCATTTTTTTTGTCAATCTGTGTGTGTGTAAAAGTGTGTGGCATAATTTCTCTCCCCTTATTAGATCCCCATTTTTTTCGTCCGTTCCGTTCTAAATTGATAATATGTTTTCTCTCTCACTCTCTTCTTGTGTTTTCTTTATTGGAATAAAGATTTTCCCGGTTTTTCGGCGCCTGATTTGATTGATTGAACAAAGTTTCTTTTTTTTTTCGTTGCCTTATCAGTCAATTGGAACATGAAGAGATTATATCAACACCTGCGCGTAAAATGGACATGTTCAATTTAAGCGAAAAAACGCATAATGAAAGTTTTGCTTTGTTGGGAGATAGAGGAAGAAAACTAAAAGGGCCACCCAAAAAATGAGTCCAAAAATGTTTCGACAGGTTTCTCAACTTTATTTGGTTCTGAATTCTATGAGATTTCAAAAATCCTAAACTATAACACCTCTATAAAACCTTTTAGTTTCTTCTAAAAACTGTTATTTTCTGGAAAACCCTTGATATACAAATATAGCCCAAATGTTTTTAGCAAGAGCAAAAATTGCAATAAATTTTTCAGACAGAATTTACGAGTATCTTTGGTTGTTGTTTTTCAATACAGATTTTTGGAGCAAAAAAATCGTGAGCATAACTCAATATTTTCTTGATTAGTGTTTTTTCAAAGAAACACATCATAGATCCAAGAAATCGCATTTCAATAGCGTTAATTTTCAAAAAAACAAATGTCATTGACAACGTAATGTTTATAGTTTGAACCTTTCGTTCAGTGTTCAAAAAAATCCTGAGAAAAGCTTTTCAGAAAAACAAAACTTGGGAAAGTCCCTTTTTCGAAAAATAAGAAAAGAAAAACTAGTTTTTGATTCAACATCATGATTCATTAAGTTCCGATTTTTGGACTGAAAATCTATGAGGTTGCACTTTTTCTCAAGTGATTCATGTGATTTTTTTATTGTAGAGAAAGAAATAATGGAAAAAAATCAAGTGATCGTTTTTTTGTAAACGATCACCATTTGGTGAGAGAAATAGATGTTTGAAAATTTTGGAATGAAGGAATTATATTCGAAAGAAGACTTAGCTTATCTAAGCACAGGTTGAAAGTTGGAACCCTGGATGATTTTGAACATTTTCCAGAATTATTCTATGATCTAGATAATTCACAACTTTGCATTATTTATGATGGGATTCTCATTGTAATAAAAATAAATATATGAAGTGAACAACAATTTCTATCAAACTTATAAAGTTCAATATTTTATCCAAAGTCTGACATTGGTTTTTGATCAACTCGCAAAAGTGTTTGTTTCCGAAATCTTCGTCAAATCCACGTTTTTGGATATCTGAGTTTTTTTACATCAGAAATTAATCTGCTGTTTATTTTCGAGCTTATAAAAATCCAAAACACCTAGTTTTTTGGCAACACATTCAAAAACAAGATTCTACATTTCAAAAATCTGATTCTGATCATTTCTCAACCGAAAAAAGATCAATCCAATAAGAAAAACAGACACACACACCCTGATCATTGAGATTTCAAAAAAAGGTATCAAAAGTGTGAACTTTTTTGTTAAATTTTAATTCAAAATTTATTGTTAACGTGATTTTCATCGTTAGAACAAAAATCGAAACATCAAGAACAAAATAATTTACTTTCTAGAACTGTATATTTCCGAGAAGTTCAGCTACAGTCACCCTAGAAAATTATCGAAACTTTTTCGAAAAATCGAGACTAACTCACCTGTCAACGTGACAAAATACAGAAATGAACAAGGTGGTCCAATCAAACTTTTTTTTTCAAAAACTGTGTCACCGTATTATCTGTACAAAAAAAAGGCGAGACACAAAAAAAAACAAGTTTTTTCTTTCAAATTTCATCTCCAAGTTGCAGAAAAAAGGTCAATGAATATTGGTATCAACCGGAAATTCGTCAGATTTTCAAAGATTTCGTAGTAGTTGTAAATCTTCAGGCGCCTAAGTTGACATTAAAATCATGAGATGATTATAGTAGTGGAAAAGATTCTTTGATCTAATGAGATTCGGAAGCGATTATAAAGTTTTGGACAGGCGCCAAATGAAAAGAAGAGAGAACGGTTTGGTTGTGTAATCAAACCGGTGTGTGGAGAGAAAATATAGAAACTGGTTTGGTCATTTCTGAAGAGGTGTGAAAGATGAGAGAATGGATACTGTAGATTTTGGGACATCAGAAAAAATACAGAGATATCGAAAGTGATCTTTTGAGATCTACGAAAACTGGGAAATGATTTGAAGATCAAGAAAAATTCTTAATTTTCAAGTTCAAAAGGGGAATTTAAATTCAAACTTTTAGAGTTTCTGCAACCTTTATTATAAAAAACGCAGTTTCCCATAAACAGAATAAAATCGTGCAAAAAATGAACTAAAACTATTTTTCTCAAGGTCTCTAGGGTTTGCTCTAGATAACGTAAGTTTAATTCTGAGATTTACTCGAAATCTAAAGTTCCATGCAAAATCCGCACAAACTTCAAATTTTCTAAAAAATTACCATAACTCACTACTCACCGTAAACATATTCTGGAACAGAACCAGTTTACCTTTTCCTCCCCCGTCCACCTCCTTACAATGTTTTCTTTTCTCTTATCATTCACTAGTTCAACCGGTTCCGATACCTTCTTCTTCTTTTTTGTTCATCCCACTCACTCATCCTAATTTGTGTCTATATTGCATAAAATATCTAATTTGCATTTGTCTCGTGTCTGTGTTTTTTCTTCAGCGTAGGTGTTCGCCACCATCTGATTCAATCCCTTCTTTGATCGATCTCGTCTTGATGGTCATGGTCATCTCTCAAAAGTGCAAACCTCCCCTTTCTTCCGCCAGGGTAAATGAGAGTGGGCGGAGATCGATCAAATCACTACAAAAGGCGCTGCAAAATCTGCAAAATGTATAGTTCTAATTCTCCTCTCAAATATGAACCGATTCATACTTTTAGCTTCAATTCAATTACTAGTTCTAGCAAGCCTCTCTTCAGCGTTCGATGATAAGGTTGGTCTTTATACTTTTTGAGAAGAAACAATTCATAATTTGTTTTTTTTAGATCGCTGTCATCCCTGATCCTGATCAAGATGATGAAGTAGCTGTCAAGATTCCAACTAGAAGATCAGTTCCAGACCCAGAAAACAAAGATGATGAAGATCAAGTCGCTGTGAAAATTCCAAGTGTTAGAGAAAAGCGAGGAATCGCAATTCATCCATGGCAATGGAATACACATATTTGGCCAAACGGCGATGTTCCATATGATATTGCACTACACTACACACAAGAAGAAAGAAATACAATTTTGTCTGCAATGGCTGCTTTTACACCAGTAACTTGTATTCGATTCCGCCCAAGAAATCCAAGTGACAAATATTATTTGCAAATCAACAAATATTACAAACTCGAAAGATGTTTCTCTTATATTGGAAGACAAACTTCAAAATGGCTTTTCGGAACATCAGAAGGAAATGTCGAAACTCGCATGAAACTCGATCCATCGTGTTTGAAATACAATGGAAGAGGAACTGTTATCCACGAGTTGATGCATATTCTTGGATTTTATCACGAACATCAAAGAGATGATCGTGATCCAAGAGTTGGTGGAAGTGCTTCTCATTACAACTACAAAATCTATCCACGTGTCAAAAGTTATTACATGGGAGGATATGATGCTGATTCAATTATGCATTACAATTTCCGAAGTGTTCCGTGGAAATCGCGCAGTTATTTCTCTTCAAATGATATTGCTCATATTAATACTCTTTACAAATGTAGTAATCGATCATTTTCACGACCAACAACATCAACCCAACCAACAACAACTACAACACGTGAAAGCTATGATAAGAAGGCTATCGAGAGCAATAATTTGTTCAGAAAAAGACGACTTGTTAATTAATTAAGCAAATTTTTAGCTATAATTTGATTTGGATTCGCAGCTAATAACTGTTACGTGTGTGTATTATAGTATTGATCTCTTTTATGTGATTTTGATTTATGAAATGAATTTCTAATTTCTAATCTCTTTTAGAACTATGTATGGTCACGTGTTCGGAATAAATTTCAGAAGGACCGGTTTTTTTGAAACAAATTAGGTCTTCGAACATACGATTTTGTTGGTCCCTTCGAGCCTGAACTGAACAAAAGAAGAACACCGAGAAAACATTTACTTTACGAAAAATTCAGTAGTTCAATCAATCATGCCAGTCGCTGAATACATCAGCAATTCCTTGATTATTGGCATCGAATGAAACATGGGTCTGATAATATTTGACGAGTTGATTCAATGACCAATGTTTGCGAACATTCGCTCTTCCATAATCGACAAAATATTGAACTTCACCGCCACTCGAAGTCGTGCGAATTGGATAATGCTTGAATTGATTCGATGATGTTCTATAAACCAATATCAATGGCAAAGCATCACAAAGAGTATCCAGTTTTGCAGTCTTCGAAAAATGATGATAAAGCGCAAATTCAGTGATGTTGGCAACTTGTTGCTCGGCTTGTGAACGTGTCATTGCACCCAAATAAACTGCTGCTGCATATGATTTGAAATTCGAATCATCGGGTTTGGTGACCTTTGAATATGTCGAATCAGTTGGTGGAAGTGATGACTTCGTTGTTTGATCTTCAGTTCCAAGCATGATATAAGATTGATCGGTATCGGTTGGATTTTTGAACGGTTTCCGATATTGACCCTTTACCGAAGATGCAGGAGGCGGTGGCAAATGTTGAAGCGAGTCAAGGCTCACAGCTTCACATTTTCTCGACGCTCTCTCATCAGCCGCCAACTTATGCAACTTTGTCGTCAATTGGGATACCATTTTTGATTCAGCAGTTGGTGGTGCCATCAAATTGACATATTGATCATCTTCTTGTTTTCCAGTTGCAGCTGCTGCAGCAGCCAAAGCAACCGGATTCGCTTTACCCATTGCACATTGAACTCCATGAACACAACAACAGAGTTCATCGATTTTGGGCGCATTTTTCTGAGAAACACACTAGTTCTATCAGTTTGGATCTGATCAACTCACTTTAATCGGTTCATAGATACTATTGTATGGAGTTTTAGTTGAACGCGAGTCCATTCTTCCCAAAAACTGTTTGATTCTCTCAAAAAATATGACCAAAACTGGCGGGAAGCCCCAATTTATAGGCAAAATCTGGGTCACCTTGATTTCGTGGCTAAAAATCCACGTTGAATTTTCACGTCAAGATTATTTTATTTTGCAAAAAGTCCCTGATTTTTCTGGAGAGAATACCTTTGCGTATAAAAACCAAAACTACTAATCTAATCTGGTTTGTTCGGATTAGCTCATCCTCATCCTTATTCCATTTATCCTTGCCTAGTTTTTCTTTTTTTTTTCTTTTTTATTTTGTTGATGTGTTTTTTTTTGTTTAGCAGCTCATTTCCTTTCCCACTTTCCTTTTCGCATTTGAGAAGAAAATGTCTTTTGAGATGAATTATTAACAGAATCAAACGAGTTTTTAAAAGTTTCGCGGAAGATGTTTTTGGAATTGGCAGAAAAATGTGTTTTTTTCGGGGTTCCACGAAAAATGAGCTGTTTTTAACGAGGTTCGCAACTTTTTTTTTGGAGAGAGAGAGAAAATATTATTTTCTCAAAATAATAGGACATCATTGAAATGTTTTTAAAGTGATAAGTTAATACCAAACTCCCAAATTGAATTTTTGTTAGTGAAAAATAAACTGTCTGGAATTTCAGTTTTTGAATGATAAAACCTCAGAGATCAGATCTCTTCGCAAAGGATTAACTCAAACTTTGATGTTCTGAGAAAGGTATGAAACCTATAATTTTATATTTTCTTAGAATTTCATAGAAATCATCGTATTCTTCTATTTTTGTCGAATTTGCTTGAGAAATTTGTGTTCGACACTATAAAATATTGAAGTTACAATTTTCACTTGAAAAAAAAGATCTCGAAGTCTTTGCTCTCTTCTGAACAGTATTTTCAGTAAGTTTGAGAATATGAGAAAATCTCACAAAAAAACAGGCTGAAATCCAACCCCGCCCACCCACATTCTTTATTTCTTCTCTTCGCCTTTTTTCTTCGTCTCATCAGCGTCCGAATAAAAGTTTAAGTGTAAAAGTATGCATAACTTGATTTGTGCCGTTTTTCCTTTTTTCCTCTTCAAGTTTCTTCTCTCCCTATTTTTTCCGAACTTTTCTCTTTGTTTTTTTTTTCTTCTGTTCGACGCTTCTTATGTCATTCGTTCTTTTTATTTTCAGCTCGCACTTAATCCCTATATTTGTTTCTGTTCAGCACTTTCTTCGTATTCTTTGCTTTTTATTGCTAATCAGGTGAGTCAAAAAAAAAACGTTGGCGGAAAATCTGTCATTTATTCGATTATGTTTCCATGGAATTTTGATGGAAGAGGATTAGTGGAAAGAAAAATATGAAGAAGAAGATGAAGACGATTATATATTCCATCGATTTTCGAGATTTTATCCATGCTCTTTTTCTGTCTCCGAATTGTTTTCAGAATTTTTTCGGGAGAAAGATTTATTTCTTTTCCAGAATTATTGATAACATGTTTTTGAATGTCGAAATTAGTATTTAAAAATGATTTCGAAATAAAAAAATAGTTTCCAGTTTTGATCTTTAATTTTTTTTTTACAATTGAAGGTCGCGAACAAAAATAGAAAATCCAAAGATCTTCTAAAAATCCTAGGGTTCACAACTCACTTAAATGATAAGTAGTTACGACGTGGCAAAGTCGCTATTTTCTACCTAAAATCTAATACGTTTTCAGATACGATCACACCTGGCGAGAGAGTGTCCTAAAATTTTTGTGCAGCGTGGAAATTTTGCAAAAAAAAATTTGTGCAGCGTGAAATTTTGAATTTTTGAAAATTTTCATCAAAATCGGCTGAAAATCTATGAAAACTACACGTTTTTCGGAAAAAAATGTACAGTGTGACCTTTGAAAATTTTAGTACAGTGTCCATTTTGGACAAGTCTCGTCAGGTGTGGATACGATATCTGATTTTATAACTGTTAGATTATCGTTTCCAGAACCTGAATCCTAGTTTAAATATCAAAATTTAGACATTACAGTAGTCCCAACTTTAATCAAAACTTAGGAAAAATTCCAGTTCAGTGCAATTACAGTAACCAATCTTCCCCACACATTCCAAATAAAAAACTAAAGTATATTCCAAATCTCTTCATCAGATTAGAAAAATATCCCTCTCTTTGTTTCTTCTCTTATCCCTCCCCGTATTCAAAATCACTAAACAAATGCGGCCACCAAAACGAGTGCATTCTCTAATTCAATCATAACACACTATTTTGTTTCGCCTCTCTGTTAGCTCATCATAGAAAAAACAACACAGGCTGAAAATAAATTTGCTCTTCACACTTTTTTTTTGTTGGTTTGGTTTTCTCTCTGCCACTGACAACTCTTCTTTCTTTCCATTAGTGCGCTTCGATTAAATAATTTTACATAGTATAAATTAGTATATATCTTTTTGCGCATATATTATTAGTATGTGCAAAAAGAGGGGATGGGATTCTTTTTTATTCAAAAAAAAGGGCGATCGAGATTTTGTTTTATAGCACTGAAGTCATCTCCATCTGGTCCTTGTCAGGTGGTTCTCACCCAACAGGGGAACACATCAAACACCGAATCAAGAAAGACTGTCAATGTTCAGGTAAGAGTGGTCCCATAAAAAATCAGAGTTTGCGGTCCCAATTTTCAATCAGAAAAGGTCTTCTCAATAATTCCCGAATCACCCTAATATCTCCCTACAATTCCCAGGTAAAAGATTCGAACGACGCGAGCCGCAGAAATACGATTGACTTACAAATTGGTGAGATTCGATCGCGAAAAAACACTTTGGTCAAAATCAACGGCGAAATTGTTAGTGGAAATAATAACGAGGAGAGTATGAATAGTTCACCGCGAGTTCCGCGAAATCTATCGGTTCGAACGAAAGACAATAATAATGATACGAATGGAGAAGATGTGGAGCAAGGTGGACAGACGCAGATAAATAATACACAGGTTCGACTTTTTTTTGGAAATGTTATTTCGATCACGTCAAAAATTCACGTTTTTTTTAATAATTTGGAATTTTCATTTTTAAATTTTCCCCCCAAGTTCCAAAAAAACTGACCTTTTAGTTTTGGCCATGTTGCAATCCACAAACTCGATTTTTTCTTCTCAAAATATTTTTCGTGTTCATGTGTCTTGTTGATATAATGCATTGGGCATATTTATTACGCGATGATACTTTACAAAATCCAAATGCGTGGCGATTCTATAAGAATTTCAACAGTTTCGATTTGTATTATTTGGTGAGTTCAAATAAATCCTTACAAAGTCTTCAAAATGTTCCTTTCAGGTTGCTCGAATGTTTGCAGATATTTTCACGTGTGTTTTGGGTCTTGGTGCTGCAATGTGGACAAGAAAACCACTTTTGACATTGCCTTGCACAACAATTCAATTGCTTTTCTTGTTGATCAGAGCTCCAGTTTGGTCGATAAGAGCATATTACAAATATTTGTCAATTAATAATCCAGGCCCGAAAAAACTAGCAAATGAGCATTATGTGAGCAATTTTTTCCAAAAAAAAACAAATCAACCATTTTCTTTTTGAAGATTTTCATTGCTTGCGAATTCATTCTTCCTGCTATTTGGGCATTCCTATCCTTAATTATTGTTCACACAACTCGCCGACTGCGATGCTATGAGCAATTACATGGTTATGCCCGCCCTCCAATAATAGTATTAACCGTTAAAAACGATGATAATGATGAGAGTGTACAAATTGAGATAGCCTAGCACTTGTTTATTTGACAAAAAACGATTATATTGAGCATGCAAATAAATTATTATGACAACATGAATAATCTAGAGAGATCTAAATAGGTAGTTAGTAGTTAGAAAGATTTGAACAAAAAATAAATGGTTTCGTCCGTCCATTTATTGGTATGCAGAAGAATAAGAGGATTGGTCAGATTCATCAGAAGGGGAAGCATTGGCATTGCAGGATGGAACAGAACTTGGCCAATCACAAACTGATAATGATGGATTGAAGACTGTTCCAGATGGGCAAGTCATTTCGACTCGTCGACCCCAGACACATCGGTAGAAGATTGAACAATTGTCTGAATCGGCAATGAATGCACCATGAACTCCACATCCTCCAACTGAAAATATAGGATTACTTTTATAGTTACAGAATTTTTGAAAACAAATTACCTTCACTTCCTTGATCGTCTTGGCTCACATCACATCCTGGAACATTTTGTGGGTAGTCGCATTTTCCGCTGATTTCATTGAAAGCGAGTCCCGATGGGCAAGATGGATACTCGAACAAATCTCCCCCGAAGCACTAAAAAAATTAATTTTATTATGAGTGGAATAATAAATAGACTAACCTGAAGAATTGCTGAACAATCAGATGGATTTTTGTACAATCCATCGGATTTTCCTTGACAAAACGCATCACCAGCAGCACCACCATAATTGAATGGTTGAGCTTGAGCGACAACTCCGCCATATGATGATTGAGCAGCAGCTGCGGCACGAGCACAATGTGGAATCGACCATTTGTCGACACATTTCAATTGAACATTGCAGAAAACTTGATTTGGTTGACAATTTTCAATTGAAGATGTTGAATCAATACAACGAATATATCTGTTTCGACATTGTCCAATTGAGACAACCGAATTGTTGCTGACCAAAGCGCATCGATTATCAACTGATCGATATCCTCCTTGTTGTGACGAATCTGGTTTTCCGTTGTTTTTGATGACTTGGTAAACAGAAGCTTGTCCACAGTTTTCTTTGGCGACACATTTGTTAGAGTTTGAGTCGAAGACTTGGTCAGTTTCGCAAGATTGCGAGATGTATGCGTTTTCGACACATTCAAGATAATTCGAAGCACAGAATCCAATAGAAGCACGAGCACCAGATTGACAACTTGAGCTGTAGGAATTGGATGGAACTGTGGTCGCAGCAGTGGTGGTTGTCTGAAAAATATTTTTTAAAGAAATTCAAGTTTTTTCTTCTCAATTACCTCATCATTTCCAACAACTGGTGTTCCGGTGGTTGGCTGTTGAGAACAATCAGAAATATCTTCGAAATTGATACATTCTCCAACAGAAGGATCAAATCCTTCTCCAGGTTTACAAATCGAAGTTTTGACCAATGTTCCATTAGCGCATTCATTAAATGATGTGGCACATGCAGATCCATGAGCTCCATCTGTCAATCCAGAACAAGCTGATACAATTTGTCCATATCCACTGGTGACAGTTGTTGTAGTTGGTTTGTAAGGTGTTGCAACTGTTGGACCATATGTTGATTCTTGAGGTGAAGATGTTGTTGTTGTTGAAACTTGAGATGGTTTTTGAGTGGTTTGGAATACTGATGGAGTATCATCGCTGCCATTACAAGCAGCAACCGCTTCACGATAATTGCAAACAAGTGCGATTTCATCGAAATACAAAGCGGCTGGGCAAAGACGACGGATAGCGATTCCACCAGAGCAATGAATATATTCTTGTGAACAACCAAGTGCAACAAGATCTTCATTGATACCATTACAACGATCTCCAACTGGCGCTGGAGTTGGTGCAACAGCTGTAGAAGTTGTGGATTCTCCATAAGATGTTGTTGTTTCAACAGTGACTGCAATTGGTTGCGAAGTTGTAGTTGTTTGATCTTCTCCAATTGGGGAAGAGGTAGTGCTCGATGAGACGAAATCATATCCTCCAACTGTAACATCGGCAGAAGTTGAAGAATTTCCACAAACCGAAGAGCAAGAGTTGATTGTGGTGTCAAATTGCTCGCCAATTGGACAAGCAGCAAACTGAAAATTTTAAAATATTTGAAAATAATCGTTTTTTTTGTTAGAAAAACTCACTCTGTTGACCCCGGTTCCACTACAATAGATAAACTCATCGAAACATTGTCCGAAGTTGAAGAATTGTGGGGTGGTAACACCTTGACAGTTTTGGTTCTAAAAAATATTTTTAAAATTGAAATTCAAGATTTTTGAAGAATTATTATCTATAAATCTTACAACTTGAGCTTGTCTATTGTTTTGCTGAGTGTTGGTGTATGTTGCGGTGGTTTGGGTGGAATAAGTTGTTGGTGCGCTGACTGGTGCATATCTCTTGCGGCGAGTAAGTACTGGCTCTTCTGGTCCTTCATCTTCCACAACTTCTGCCTCTTCGCGATCCCGATCTTCAAAACCTTTCTGTGGATTGTAACCAGATCCTTCGACTTCGAGTTGAGTTGCAGATTTCGGGAATACATCGTTGATATTTGAGTGGAAGCCAAATCGACGAGCACCTTTGAATGCATCATCAACGACAAAAGTACGGTCTCCTTGAGCAACTCGGCTGTTTCCATACTCGATTTTTCCTTGATGGGTGCGTCTGTTGTCGGAATAAACATCAGAAACAAATGCACGGCGATGGAATGGAGAAGCGAAAGCCGAATCGATTGATGCTGAAAATATCATAACAATTAGATTCAGAAGAATGGAAAAAAGGAGGGAAAATTTTTTATCGTGATACATTTTAAGAAATGCCAAAAATGAAAAACGTGTAAAACAAATTTTATTCTATTTTACACGTTTTCTTAAATTAGCATTTCTAGAAAATGTTGCCACAAGCGACAAGACTGTCATATTTTTGCTAAGCCAATCAAAAAGTAAATACTCACGTCTCAAGAATCTTCTCGATTGACGTCTTCTGAATGATGGTCCACGACGACGATATTGAGATCTTCTTGGTGGAACAAAGAAAGGATTATCAATATATTGTTGATCATCGAAGATTGGTCTACGAGATGGTCCACGATTACGATTTGGACGATATCTGCGTGGTCTCAAAGCGATACTATCATCAAATGGACTAACAACACGATCACTTTGTTGGTAGATGAAATGTTGAATTGGTGTGACAGATGGTTGACATTGTGGAAGATCGTAAACGCAAAGAAGAAGAGCACTTTCGAACAATGTGTTGACTGGACATTGCTTGTTGACAATCGCATTGTTTTGGCATTTTGAAAAACGAGAAGCACACGATCCGAAGCTTGTGATCTGTCCGTTTTGGCAAACTTGGTTGGAATTGACAGAATATCCAGATGTAACTTCTGGAATTGGTTGAACTGTCGAGGTTGCAACTGGAACTGGAACAGCGTCATCAGCGACAGTTGAAGTGGCAACTGGTTGTTCAGAAGATGATGAAATTGGTTCTTCGGACGAAGTTGGAATTGGTTCCTCAGAAGAAGTTGGTAATTCTGACGAGGAAGCTATTGGTGCTTCAGTGGTAGTTGTAGAAGAGCTGTAGAGCACTTCAGCTTCTGTTGTGGTTGTATCTTCTGTTGGAACTGGTGTATAAATATCAATTGGTTCTTCCTCAGCGACAACTTCTTCGGTTGTTGGAACAATGGTAGTCGTTGATGTGGAAGTGGTTGTGGTTGAATCACAAGTATACTCGCATACTTTTTGAGCGTGATTATAAACCAATCCAGCTGGACAATGACTGACGAGAGTATTTCCATTTGAACACACGTAGTAAACCGATGAACAACCTTCAACGTAATTTCCATCTTCTAAATTTGAGCAATCAAAGTGTTCTCCAACTGAGACAGATGGAATGGTTGGTTCATCATAAACTTCATCTGTTGATGGTGCTGTTGTGGTTGGAATTTCAACTTGTGGGGGAACTGCGTCGCATGATTCCAAACATTGGTTGTATTCAGCGAGATAAACCAAGTTTGATGGACAGAACATTGGATAAGCCTTGTCCATTGACACATTTGAAGAATATATTGCTGCAGCCGTTTTGATATGTTCCATCTTCTTTCGATGAACAATCTAGAAAATGAAAATAATTGAACTGTTGTAAATTCACAATGAAAATAACGAACCAAAATCTTCTGCTTCCACTTCATTTTGTGTGGGTGGCTGCGATTGATAGCCATTTTCCGTTGGTTCTTCACTGGTCTGACATTCAGGCGAGTTTTCAATAGTAACACATGCATTCTCATAGAAAACAAAACCTTCTTGGCAGACAGCTGCTTGTTGAATTCCATTCACGCAAAGGGTGTACTGAAATTGGTTTGTAAATACTTTGATTCCAAAAAACCACAGAAATTTACCTCTTGACTACAGGCGCTTCCAGCTATCGATCCATTGTAGTTTGGAGGGCATTGTGAAGAGGTGTTGGGGATTTCGTAAGTATTTACAGCTGAAAAAAACAAATTACAATCACGCATTGCAATGGTCGTTTTCGGCTTACCAAGGGTTAATAAAAATGATATCAGAAGTGTTAGATTTGTCCCCATCACCTGCAAGTTTGTTAAATTCTTTATTTAGTAGAAGTAGAAGTCAAGACGTTAAAAATAGAGCAGCGCTACTCGAAGATGACAAAACGGAGACAAAACTGACTGCCTGGCCTAAAAACCGCCCATCATCAAACTAGAAACTTTCAAACAACGCGCGCGCGAGCCAAAAATTTAGGTCAAAAGAAAAAAGAGAAAATGCTCGAAACACACATTGGTCTTGGAACGATAGAGTGAAACGAATAATGTTCCTTGAAACTGTTGTGTGAATTACTGTAGGCTCTTGCAACGAACATAGTGCGCCTTGAAAAAACATTTTTAATTTTTTCAAACTTTCACACATGTTTTTCCCATGCAATGAAGAGTCATGGTAAGCAGTGACAACGGTGTTTGCGGACATGTGTTTGCACACATTTTGTTCTCACACATCTCTCGCACTCTCTCGTTTGCCGCGCTCTCTATTTTTCATTTTGAAAAAAAGAGGTACGGTATCAAAGGCGCATGTGTTTTTAATTTCGATTGGTCTCGCAGCGGAGGCTAACTTTCTTCCCAGGACCCCTAAAAATTCCAAACAAAGTCATTCGCACAGATCTCGATACGCTGATTTTCGCTATGTTTTTTGTTTTTGATGAAGTGGGGGTAATTACACCGCTAGGCGTTGCACCGTTTTTGTCGGATGCGCGATGAAAATTGCACAACTTTCTTCTTTTTCAAACGTGTGTGCTTTTCTTTTTTTTTTTCTCGAGGCCGCTCGCGACTATTCTTCCCAATTTGTGTAATTTTCAGTCTTCCGAGAAGCAAAATGAATGTTCCAGTCGATGAACTTTATGAAACTGATACTATTTTCTCACAGGAAGGAGATTTACCAGGTAAAAAGTTATTATTTTTCACGAATGAAATTAATTTTTTCAGAGAATTATTTATACAAGAAGTTGGCAGATGTAGAGTCTGAAACAGAAGATGGAAATTGCCCGGATAAGCTTGTTTCTGATGCAAGCGACGATGATGATAGCTTTCCTACGTTATTAGAACACGCAAGATATCAACAAGCTGGTGACTTTCAAGCAAATCGTCGTCATAATTTATTTGACGAATTAGTCAATACTGAAAAGTATGCCGAGTTTTCGGGACCATCTGGTTTTGTTTACGATGATACCTATGATATTGCCAAAGATACTTTTCGTTATGGACGGTAAAAAAAGTTATAAAGTGTCATTTTTGACTAGATAGATTTCAGCGTCACTCGCGGTGTCAGTTATCAATTGAAATCTGGAAAAATGCAAGAAGAAACTCTTGAAAAAGTCAAAAAACAAGACGAGAATAACGACAATGTTTTGGTTAGCAAAGTCACTGAAGATGAAAAAACCCATCGAGTTACTACAGAAGTGACAATTTCACTCGACCGAGGATTTTCTGATTTATACGAAACTCAGATGCCAAAGTACTTTGAGTATCGTCAACAATTTCCAGTAAGTTTTGTTTGAAGAGTGCTGGGAAAATGAATTGATTTCAGGAAATATCAGGAATCTGGACAATTTTGTTGGGACAAGAAGAATATAAAACAACAAAAACCTACGAATTGCAAGTTTCAATTTGCGCGGCTCTTAATTCTCGAAAATTCATGATAATGTGCATCGGAGTTGATGAATATAACACAGTGACTGGTGTTGAAATGACAGCTGAACAACGGGTTATTTTTAGAATGGCACTTACAAGAGCTGTTGCTGGAGAATTTCAACCTCCACTTATCAAGGTTTTTCGTGAAAATATCATTTTTTTTTTCAAATGAAAACTATATTTTTCAGCTTCCACCCAAACAATTGACTGGTATTTCCGCAATGAAACAAGATGTTGCGAATTTCACATCTTCAATTGATGTTCTTTTTATTCCAATCTTCCAAGTTCCTGAAGAAAATTTGGGAGAACCTCGTCCAAAACGATTTTTGATTGTTGTTCGTGTTAAAGAAACAACCGAAAAACTCTATCAATTGTCTTCTGGAAAAGTTTATATTGAAGAAGGTGGAGTTCCGATGGAATTGTCCAGTTTGAATGAGGTAACATTATAAATGATGAAAACAAAATAAGATGAAATTTAAGGCTCACAAATTGTTGATTCTCGACAAAGATGAAGAATCGAAAGGAAGCCTTTTCTCTGAAAATGTCGAACTTTTCCATGATTCCGAATTCGAATCAGAAGAAGAAGATGAACCAGAATCTGAACCTGAACAAATCGAAGAACCTCAAATTCCCGAACCAACTCCTGCTCAAAGTATTCAAACAGTTGTAGCTGAAAAAATAATTCCAAAACTTGAAACCGAAAAGAACAAATTGGATAAAATCTGGAAACATATTTCGCCAAGCGAAAAAACCGAAAACATCATTCTCGCCGTTCTTTGCTTTGCCTCAATCAGTTTTGGAATCTATAAATTATCAAGAAGAAGTTAAATGCATGCAAGTTTTATTTTTCGGGTTTTCGATTTATTTTTTTTTACAAATAGTTATCATATAATATACTGTAATAATGTTAACATTAAATGAAGCCATCCCGTTTTTTTTTCAAAATCACAAACAAAAAAAATATTTGGGATATTTATCGGCATGTTCCTTTGTAACAAGCAAGTGGTTTTTGACAATCACATCGATAACAATTTCCACCACTTGGCACATAACACATTCCGGTTGGAGGAACATTGAAAGATTGCTTCAAAAAAATCAGATTTCAAAGTTTTCAAATGAAATATGACTCACCACAGTGCCAATCATAACACTAAAAAGAATCAATAAAATCGCAAAAATCTTCATTTTTCGTTGATCGAAAATATAAATCTGAAAATTCAACAAAAAATCAAATGAATAAATAAATATTTATGTTTCTCTATTGAAAAAATAACAAAACGAACGATGCGAAAAAAAGCCAACATAAATTCAATTCCGGTTTCCAGATAGATAGTTTTTAAATTGGGAAAAAGAGAAATAGGCGGAGTTTAATGACATTTAATCCTATTTAGTTTGAGGGTGACATCAAAATATTGATAAAGGTCAATAAAACTTTTTTCTTATTTTCGATGAAAATTAAAATGATAACATGTGAGCAGTGGGAAAGAGTGAAATTGTGGTGAAATGAATTTATTTTGAGATCGAAGACAAACCCATTTACAATGTTTGTTCTTCTTTGCCTAACATGACAAAAATACACAATTTGTAGGTTACACAAAAAAAGAAGCAAAGTTCGAAAGATGATTCATACCATCATCATAAATAGAAAAAAACAATTTTTTTCAAAAAAAAAATCAAAACTGCCAACTGTGAGGACGTTCTTATTTCTTTACTAAATATTTGTGTTTTTTTTTAATTCCAAATACTTTTGAAGATTGTGTGTGACCTTGAACTGGTTCTATTTTTGACAAAGTTCTATTTTATTTTTATAACATTTTTATTCAATTTATATTTGTAACTTTGGCACGGAAACCATCATATCTTGAACGTGTGTTCAATATAATTAGCATATGATTTGAAGTTGTAGTTCTTGGACCACCATTACTACTATAATAATCGAGATAAAGCATAACTGAAGAAGATGTTGAAGCTCCATCATATACAGTAATATTGCTCGAATGTTGTAAATCAACCGTGGAAAAAGTGATACCAATTCTAAATTTATATATTTTTTTTAAATAATTTCGTCTATCACAACTAACCGGTTTCCGAAAGATGTTGATATACTGTAATAACATTTCTGATCGTATGGCAAGTAAACTCCATTTGGATAAATAATATCAGCGGGTGGAACGTAGTATTTTGATGGTCCACAAGTAAATATTATTTTTGTTGTTGATTGAGAAGGTTGCGTAGAATTAAATGGTGATTCAGTTGTTGTAGTTGTCAATACTGAATTATTTAAATATGTTGGGAAATAGTATATACTCCACAAATATTTTGTATTATTTGTATTCTGATTTCTTGGATGGAATACAACTTTCATTGTATTTGTAGTAGAATTATAACTTCCTCGAGGTGGATTAAAATAATCGAAAATTACGAATGGATTCATATCTTCGATATCATTATAAAGCATGATTGAAGAATATTGATCAAATGAGAAATCATAAAATACAACACTTGTGAACGAATTCAAAGGTGTGCTCAAAATATAAGTGCATTGTGATTGATTCGATGAAAAATATGAATATGGATAATCTGGCGAATAAATATACCCCTGATTTTCACCGAATTGTGGACCGACACATTGGCTTGGAGCCAGAGTTGGTGATGGAGTTGTGCCACAAATTGCACCAATTTCACGTTTGCAAACAAATGGTAATAATGTTGCACATTTACTGCTAATCCATTTACCAACACTGACAACATCATTTGTAAGAGCTAAACTATAACATAAACCAAAATTTTGATTTTTGTAACCGATATTTTGATAAGTCCAAGATGAATTATCAGTCCAAGTTTCATCATATTTCGCCCCAATTCTCACATAATTATATAAATTTGCATCAAAAAGTGTTCGTATATTCGAGTTTTCATTGAATGAATGAATCGATACAAGATGACCACATTCTTGTTGACAAACTGTTTCGGCATCATTTTCCGATAAGGCGATTGTATAAGGATTATAACAAAAACCCGAATAGCTTAAAGCACATGATTCTTCAATTGGTGTACGTTCACAGATAAAATTAAATGTTGAAGAACAAGGAGTATTCAACCATTTTCCAATAGCTGAATCAACTGTCACACAATTTCCAACCGATGGTTGAATCTGATTTCCATAGAAATTACTGTAATTTGAAATAGTTCCACTTCCATCATCCCATTGACATTCATTTGAATAACATTCAAGACCAATCCAAGTTGTCTCATTGATTATTTTGAGAAGAAATGCGTTATCCTGGAAAATTTTTGAAATCGAAGAAAATTGAGATTCTTGCTCACTATCGCATTATGAATCGATATCAATGTTCCACCAATTTGTCCACATTTCGTAGAAGCATCCAAATAACTTGCTCTCTCATAAATTATCTGGAAGTTGGTATTCAACAATCTTTATTTTAAAAATAAACCAAGTCCCCTGAAAATTTTCTGTTTCTGATCTACTCACTTTATAACATGTGCTCTCGTTGAAGTCATCGAATCCAATTGGACAATTAATGGCCAATGAGGAAGAAAATAAAACACACGAAAATAACAGAAAAGACATCAACAACAACATCGTTTTTCACCTCTGTTGCTCAACTTTTTGTCGGAATGATTACAAAAATCTTGAAATTTTTTATCAGTGACTAACATTTTCTTATCTTTTGCTAAACTCTATGATTTATTCTCGAGAGACCAAGAAATCAGGCACAAAATTTATGATTAGTTTTTTTTTTTTTTGAAAAAAAAGTTTTGATGGTTCAAAGATTCCAGTAGTAAACAATGAGCCGCTGTAAATTAAAGTAAAGATCAGGGAAATTGAAGAGGCAGAGATAGGTTACACTTTTGAGGAGGGAGGAACGAATGAGGAAAATGAAAGATGATAGAATTGAAAAAAAAGAGTCAGGATAGATAAATTCAGTTGTTTTCCTCAACAATTATGCGTCCACCAACTACTGATCCAGCTTTGAAAGATATCGCCAATAAACTTGGTTTGACTGTTTGGAGAATTAATGTGAGTCAGAATAATAGGATTTTGCAGAGATCCACTTTTTTCTGACTGATTTTTAAATGGGTTTGAGCCCGTTTCAGAAAATAAATCCATCCTATTTTTTTTTTCAAATTGATATCTGCAGAAGTTCGAGTTGGAACTTGTGCCAGAACTCGAATATGGAATCTTTTACAACGGAGACGCTTACATTGCTTTGAATGTAGGTTTTTCCTTCGCTCGGAAAATCTAAACGACTCGTTTTACAGCAAAAATATGAGGGATATTGGGACGTTCATTTTTGGTTAGGCAAAAATGCATCAACTGATGAAATTGGTGTTGCTGCCATCAAGACAGTTGAAATTGATGATGTAAGTTGAATATCGGATCCAAAAAATACACACCCAAAAACAATTCAGAGCCTTGGAGGTATCCCAGTTCAACATCGGGAAGTTCAAGATCACGAATCTCCATTGTTCCTTTCATATTTTTCGGAAGGTGTTAGATATGTTAGTGGTGGCTATGAATCTGGATATAATCATGTGACTGAAGATTTCAAAAATTTCAAGCCTCGACTTTTCCATTGCAAAGGAAAACGAAATGTTCGATGCACTGAAGTTCAATGCGATACATCAGCATTGAATTTGGGTGATGTATTTATTCTCGATTTGGGAAAAGATATTTATGTTTGGATGCCACCAGAGAGTGGAAGATTGGAAAGAATCAAAGGAATGTCACGCGCAAAGAATATTGCGCATCATGAGAGACAAGGTGCATCAAGTGTTCATATTCTTGATGCCGATGGTTGGAATTCGGATCCAATTTTTTGGAGTTATTTTGGAGGTCCAATTGCCGTCAAATACATTCAAAAAGCAAAAGATGACGATGAAAATTATTGGAAACGTTTGAGCGAACAAATTACTCTTTGGAAAGTCTCCGATGCCACTGGTGACTTGAAAGTTTCACTTGTATCGCAAGGTGAAGATATCAAGAAAAGTCAATTGGACTCAAATGCAAGTTTTAGTTAACAGTTTCACCAGATTCTTTTTATTGAGCAAATTATAGGATGCTTTCATTTTGGATGCTTTGAACGGTGGAATCTTTGTATGGATCGGCAAAAATTGTACACTTGACGAGAGATCAAAGGCATTGATTTGGGGTCAAAATTATTTGAAACAACATGTTCGTTTTTTGCACTATGTCATATCTCTTCCCACGTTGTTTTTTTTAACCATCAATCATGATTTTTCTAGCATCTTCCAAGTTGGACTCAAGTGACACGTGTCCTCGACACTACTGAAAACACTCAATTCACCCAATGGTTCCATGATTGGGTTGATGATAAGAAGAAGAATACATTCGATCCATTACTTTTCCAAGTTTCTGATGAAAGTGGTCTTCTTCGCGTCGAAGAGATCGCAAATTTCACACAAGAAGATTTGGATGGTGATGATGTTATGATTCTCGATGCATTGAATTCGATTTATGTTTGGGTTGGCGCAAATGCGAATCCGAATGAGAAAAAAGAGGCGTTGAATACAGCGAAAAGTTATTTGGAGAAAGATAAATTGCCAAGACATCAAAAAACGACAATTGAGACAATTTATCAAGGACAAGAAGGACCAACATTCAAAAAGTTCTTCCCATCGTGGGATGATAAACTTTTCAAGAATGAAGTTCGTACTGTCGAAAACATGCGTCGCTTGCTTTTTAATTAATTGAATTCGTTTTTTTCTAAATTAATAATTTTTAAATGTAGTTTGGTGTCAACAAAACAAAATAATAAATTTATCAAACGTGCTCCAAATTTTCTAACGTGTGAAAAAAACAAAAAAAAATCAGAAATAAATAGAAAACAGGTTCGGGTTATTTTAGAATTCTCGCTTATTAGCAATCTAACGATCAATTGAAAGAAAATGTCATTCGAGTTAGTTGAACTCAGCTACCAAACCAATCGTAAAACCCGAATTTCAGATTAAATTTTAGTTGTACTGCTCAACCTTTTCACGCGGATGCAACATCTTCTCGATCTCAAAAAGATCTCAAAATAATTTTGTTTGGCGGCCAAACTGAAGTGGTTGATTCGGAAGTTATGGCAACACATTCTGGAACAATTTCTGGTATTTTATCATGTTCTCGTCGTCCTTATAAACCAATTGATATGTCACATTTTGATGAGAAAGCTGTTCATTTAGTTATTGATTGGATGTATTCTGGTGAAATTAATTTTTCAATGGATCAAATGAGAAATGTTCTATCAGTTGCTTCAAATTGGAGAGTTTCTGGACTTCAACGTCAACTTGAAGAACATCTTGAAGCTCTTGCATTACATGGTCAAGCTGTTCTTGCTCTTAATACCGCTACAGCTGACTCTTTTACTGTTTCAAATGATTCTATAAAAAGTCTTGCTTTGAGTTTGCAACAAATTATTGGAGATCTATACACCAATGATATCGCCGATCTTTCATATAATTCAATAATTGCATTAATGTCTTCAAAAATTAATGCTCGTGAGAAAGTTCCATTGATAAATTTGGCTATTTCTTGGATGAAATATCATAAAACTGAAATTGAAGCCAAGAAAACAATTTGTGAAAGTGTTACATTTATTGATCGAGACGGTGAAACTATTCATGATGTTCAACAAGGCCTCATCTATGTGAGATCTATTTTATTAAAAAAAAACAAAAATATATTTTTCAGCACACTGGAAAGAATGACTATAATCGTCGTCTTGTTATTGATACGTTTGGGCGTCTCTCATTCCGAGATAGAACAAGAGTAAATTCTTCTTCAGTTAATAAATTTACAAAGTAAGTGATGAACTGGATCAAGAATTAGTATTAACAATTTTTCTAATTAAGCTCAAAATGGTCACTCGCACGTCCTCCACAACCTCAACCACCAGCAAGACAAAATCCAACCTGGCAAGCAAGAGAAAATCGTCGTGGATTGGCAATGGTGTCAACATCGGATCAAAATGTGAACGAGGAAAAACAACAACAGCAAAAGCAACAAAACAGTGATTACAGTACTTTTGAATCAACAAGATCTAGTGCTTCCACATCATCGTTGAGAAATCCTCGAAATCCAAGACGTTCGCTTTTCCGAACTCAATCTCAACTTGAGGATTTGCGACAAATTCCGGATACTTTTGAGTTGGTTTTCATTCTTGTTCCATCTCATATGTATCTTATATTTCAGAAATCCATATTTCCACCAATTCCATAATCGCCCAATTGAAGCATCAAGTTCAATCCGTGATCAAATTGCAAATATGCCAAATCCGTTTCAAAATTCGAACAAGAAAAATAAGCCAGCTGTTCGCAGTCAAGATTCTATTTCGGATGTTTCCAACTCTAATCCAAATCCTTATATGTAAGAAAGTAACATAGAAAAATGCTCAACCAAAATATACATTTTTGTAGCATAGTTGATCCCATTGTTGCTCCAACACGTCAAGCTTCTGATCCGGAAAGAATGAGTTTAGCTTCAGCTCGAAAAATACTTCGTCAACACAATTTGGATCACGAAAACTTGAATACTATTGCTGATCCATTTGGACAACAACAACAACATCAAATTAGACGACAAAATTCAGATCAGGAAAATATAAATGCAATTGCTAATCCGTTTGATAGAAAACAATCATTATCAAACTCCAAGCACAAAGTTCTAACAAAAAGTCAAACCGAATTTTTGAAAGACGCAGAAGATCCATTTCAAAATACCAAGTAAACAATTCATTCCATCGTATCTAAATCCTTTTGAAATTTTTCAGACCACAACGCCAATTTTCATTGACTGATAGCAGCCAGAAGAAGAAAGTTTTGATGGGACGTCGTCAAAATTTTGATCAAAGTGAAATAGAACATCTTCAATCAATTCCAAATCCATTCCAAAGTCCATCAACTAACAAAAGTGAAAAGAAAACTCGTGAGTAATCATGGAATGGAATGATATTTTGAATTTTTGATAAATGAAAAATTCTTTCAGATGCTACTAGATCACAACGTCTCTATCCGTGAAACATCAATAACATTTTTTCTTAGCTCAAATGAATATTTTCTCTGATTTATTTGTTTCTTTTTAGAAAAAAACACAAGACATAAGAAATTAATTCCAATAGTCATCAATCAAATTGTTGTAAAGAATATTGCATCCAGAAACTTTGAATTCTTGAGTTTTAGCTGGTTTAGTATTCAAACAACATCTGAAGTTACTGTCAGTCATACAACTTCCATCATAAACATTATAACAATTGTTGACACAAAGTTTGTAGCAAGTTTTGTTGGTTTGTTGAGAGAAACTGATCCATGGTGAACAATAATCATACGATGCTCCACCATTGACAGATGAACAGAAAGCTTGGCAAACAGCTTTGGTGACAGCACCAGTTCCAGCTACAAGAGCAAGGACAAGAAGAATACGGAAAATCATTGTTGAAATGATTATGAGAATTATGGATCAGAGAATTGCTTTTATAACAATCGAGATGAATAGATCAACAGGAGATCGGTGGGAGCATTTTATGATATTAAAATTGTGTTTCATGCTGTGCACTATGTCACAGCAGATTTGCATAAAAAAGTTCTCGATCGTTTTTTTTTTCAAATCAAATGTTTAATAGGAAAAATAGACAATTTTGTGGTCTCCTGCTGTTGCAAATGGAGTACGCCAAAAATTGAAAATGAAAAAGAACACGTAACAATTTAATTCTTATCTCAAATCTGAATCACACGTTCCACGTGGAATATTTCTGTATAAAAAAGGAGAGGATTCTTCAGTTAGCCATTTTTTGAACGAATATAATTGCTAAAAATAATGTCGGATAAGGAAAAAGAGTGCGAAGAACTAACTTTCAATGTCGGTGATTTGTAAGTTTTCCTATCAGAATACAGTAAGACGCTTACAGTATCATTTGCAGAGTTGCTGGTTATAAAATAATTGAAAAAATAGACGAAGGTGGTTTTGGGCAAGTATTCAAAGTATCACAAGATGATCAAATTTATGCGATGAAAATTGAATCAAATCAGCAAGAAGGTGGATCTGCAATCAAATTAGAGATTGATGTTTTATGGGATTTGAAAGCTAAAAAAGTTCCGAATTTTCCACAAGTGGTTCAAGCTGGCAAAAAAATCAAATATCATTTTTTGGTCATGGAATTGCTTGGGGATAATTTGAAAACCCTTCGCTATAAATCTTCAAACCCTGATACATTATCTCCTGGAACTTGGAGTCGCATTGGAATACAATGTCTTTACGTGTAAGTTCATAGAAAAATTATTGTGTAAAAATAATAATAATATTTTTTCAGTGTAAAACTCTTGCATGATAATGGTTTTGTTCACCGTGATATAAAACCATCAAATTTTGCAATGGGCCACGCTGAAGATTCACTTAAAGGACGACTTGTTTATTTGTTTGATTTTGGATTGGCTCGTCGATTTGTTCTCAAAGCAAAAGATGCCAAAAAGGATGTTCCTTTGAAGCTTATGGCACCTGAAAGTAATCGAGAATTGAAAAAAGAAAAACCAGTGGAAGAAAAGAAGGAGAGTGTGAAAGACAAAAAAGGTGGAATGAAGAAATTGGATCGGGCACTTCAAGGAAAGGATAATATGAAAAAGGCGGTGGGAAAGGTGAAAATGTCAAAGAGAAACAAACAAGATGTTTCAAAATATGAAGATCTTCAAGACTCGGATAAAAGAAGCACTGAACCAAGTTCAACTCGTGTTCAATACAAATTTCGAATTGCTCGACCTCGAACTGATTTTCGCGGAACTCAACAATATGCATCACCAAATGCTCATCTACTCATCGAACTTGGTCGAGCAGATGACGTTTGGTCTTTGATGTATATGTTGGCCGAAATGGTTGCACCACTTCCTTGGGCTGTCAATGAAGAGATTCCGATTGATACACAGAAAAATCAAGCAAATCTTCAGGGGCTCTTCAAAATCGGTTAGTTTTTGAAGCATTCTTTGAAATATCTCAATTTCCAAAAAATTTCAGCTTCGTTTGAAAAAATCGATGATAATTTGAAAAGCTGCAATTATTATTCAGCACCTGATTATGATCTTTGCTATCAAACATTGAAAACAATAATGGACGAATCTGGTGCAAAATGGTTGGATCCTTATGATTGGGAATCTGACAATTTGTCATCATTTGTGAAATGGAAAGAGGAAAAAGCAAAACATAAGATTGTTTATGGATGGGAGGATCCGAGAGATTATTTCAAAAATGAAGCATGGTCGATGTTATCAAAACCATTGAAAGTTGAAAAATTGAAAGAAGAAGAGAAGAAGAAAGAACTTGAAGAAACACCAAAAGATGATGATAACAAGTTGAATGAAGTGCCATCAGGAGAAGAAAGAAAATCAACACCACATGTGAATACACCTCCTCCGCCACCTACCCCACAAAAAGGAAAAAAGAGGTTGTCTGCTGAAACTTGTGAAGCTCCAGCTCCATCACCCGCTTGGTTTGTTCGCCCTCCGCCACCACAACAACAGCAACAACAACAGCAGGAAAAACAGCCAAAAGGAACATCTGTCTATGGAGGATGTCCACCAATTGGCGGTGGAAATTCTCAAGAGAAGAAGTCGGGAAGAAAAAAAGTTTGGAGGAAATCGGGTGGATCGGCAAGAACTGCAAATGGCAAAAGTACTCAATCGAAAAGTGGTGCACAATCGAATCGACATGCTAATAAGTTTTTGAAGAGGCACTAATAAATGTTTTGATCTGAATTTTGTTGGTTTTGTTGTTGACGATTTTCAGCCTCAATTTTTTGAATGTTTGAAAATAAAAATATTTCAGTATATATACAAACAAAATTGATCACTTAATTTTTTTTTCATCTAACAAAAAAAAATCGGACCTATTTTATCATCTAACAAAAAAAATCGGGCCGATTTTTTCTCAAAAAAATTCAAAAATTGGGCATGGCTTCCGCATCTGCGCTGAAATTCCAATTTGTAACTGATAAAATCCAAGGTTTTCAAGATTTTCATAAAGAAAATCAAGAAAACTCTGAATTTTATTAGTTTCAAACTGGATATTTCAGAAGTTTTCTATTATTTTATTATGAATACTTACCGAATGCATCAAGTCCATTGATTGATCGAGTGAATTTGCAGATTGTTGATCTGGAATAAAACATTGAAATTTCTTTTAAAAAAATAAGTTTTTAAATAAAAATTCAAAAATTGGGCATAGCTTCCGCATCTCCGCTGAAATTCCAATTTGTAACTGATAAAATCCAAGGTTTCATAAAGAAAATCAAGAAAAACAGAAATTTTATCAGTTTCAAAATTGGATATTTCAGAAATTCATGTCAATTTTCAAAACTTACCAATTTCAAAACCATATCTGGAACACAATTGGTCAATCCATTTCGAAGTGTTGTTGTTGATCTGAAAAAAAAGGTTCACATAAAATATGTCTAAGTAAATGTTGTTTTCTATCAAAATTCAAAGTTAGAATTTGTCTTACTTACTTTTCTCAGCTCCCAACAACAATCAAATTTCGAGCATTGTAGATTCATGCAGCTGGTTCAAAGTACAATCAACCACAAATGTATTTCCAACCATTTTTCAAAAGTTGTCTTGTTAAAGGAATAATACCGAACAAATATCGCAAACTCCTGCTAACACCAAAAATCCAATAAATATCGATAAGTAGGAAAAACGATCGATAAGTAGGAAAACGAGTGTTGAACTTGTCGAAAAACATCCAACAATCAAGGACGGCTGAAATGATAATTATATATTTCTCAAATTTTGAAGTCCGTGTAGAAGGCTTTGAACTTCAAAAATTCGAAAACTCACGCTCAACAGCTTGCGAAAAACTTTCATTATTCATCATTTGCACAACTTCTTTTGTTCCCAATCAAAAACGGTTTCAGCCAAAAATCGAAAATTCTTTTCGTGTTTGTTAGCGTAAATATTCAATCCAGATTGTTGAGAAAATTGATGAGAGCATATTTTGATTACTCTTTTCCATACATCTGACACGATTCAATTTGTTGTTTGAAGAACACGTGAACCAAATTGTTTCCTCATTTAACTGTTTGATTAAAAATTTCCACATTATTCTTAAAATATCGCCTCGAAGCTGATCAATAATTTCCAGTTGATTTGATGCCTTCGACATCACACGATCAACACGCCAACTTGCAGTTCTCGTGCATTTTATCCGGAAAGCAGGTTGATTGATTTTCTGAAAAAAACATGAATTAGCAGAAGCCCAGATCGATTTTCCCCAAAAAGATAAATGCCCCAATTTCCAATCAAGTTCCTTCGCTCAATGCAAAGTCCAAAACAAGTTTCCCGTTCTCCCATTCCACCCAAATCGGTGGCTAAAGAGCAGTTCTATATATTTGAACCTCAGGTCTTGCTCATCTCTGCTTTCCAGTCAAATCCAGGCGGTATTCCGCGGTCCACAATTTCGTAAAAAATTGTGTCCCTACCGAGGTTCCTGGTAGTGGCAATGACTAGTGCGCTCGAAATTTATCGAGCGCTGTACTAACTCCGAGCAAAGACTTCTAGAACTGCTCGGAATGGGATTACAAGAGTGTTTTGGGTGAACTCAAAAGGAAAAGGGGCTAAAACATTTAAAAAAAAACTTATCTTTAATCATGTTTCTGTGTAGAACTGCCAAAGAAATGCCATCTTGGGCGACGCAAAAAAAAGAAATGAAAATAAAAATCGATTTTTTGGTTGGCGCGTAGAAAAAATAAAAATTCGCGGGCAAGTTTCGAATTTTTTGTCTGTTGTGTGTCAAGACGCAGTTGCTGTTTTTAATGTTCCTTTGAATTGTACCGTACCTAGAAAACATTATTTATTTTTTTTCGTGTTTTACGAGGAATTAATAATGGAATTTCTTGGACTGAAATTGTTGGGGATTGCAGAAACAGTTGAAATTTCATGAAAAATTTCAAGTTTTTTGATCGAAAAATGACCACTGTATTTTTTTTTGCAATTCGAGGGAGACGCAGACTTTAACGTGTGCAGACAAATCTCTCGCCGAAAAAGGGAGAGAAATAGTGTGTGGCAGACACACAGCGTGTCGAGACCAGCGAGTGTCTGCGTCTCCTCGAAATTGCATTTTTCTATTGGGAAAAAACACAGTGTGACTCGTGGCTAAATTAGGGATGGTTCCTAATTTTGCCCACGGCGAGATTTTCCCAACGTCCCTCTCCTCTCAAAATTTACATTAGAGAAGAAAAGAACGAGTGGGCGGGGCATGTCAGAGACACAGGGGCGCCTGCTACTGTAGGAGGAATTACGGCGGGATTTCAAAATTATTTTTGGTTCAAAATCAATTTTTCTCTATTTTGAACCGAAAATTCCTAGAAAATGCAGAAAAGACGCGGCTAACCCTAATACTTACCTTTAGAAGAATAGAACAATCAATAAAAATTTATTAAACTAGAATTAAATTTATAAAAAAATGATTATTTCATCATAAAATTAAAATGTATTCTGCGAAGTTCAGTCAATATTTGCGATGGCGACCACGTTGTCTTCAATCTTCTTCTCGATGCCCTTTCCTGACATTCCATGATTTTTTTGAAATTATTGAACTGATTGATACTATCCTCTGATTCATTGATTCTTTGACATGTCAAACTTGGCGCCAAAAGATTCGCTGATTTCGCCAATGAATCCGAGCAATAACATTGGGTGAGCATATCCAGTTCCATGGAACTTGTTGTTGATTTTTTAACAGGAACTTGTTGTTGATTTCTTCGAATTTTCAGCTCGAATCAGATTATGTCCATTGTGTTGAATGTTGAATAGTCGCTTTCAAATGTTCCCTCGTGAGGAATTCAGCGGTAGCTTGAGCATTCGTGTTCCACTTGAGTCATCGAAATTCGTAAAATGATATCTTCTCTGGATTTTGAGCCAGATCCAAACGGATTTTCGAACAGCGAACACTTCGAAACATTGATTTAAATTCAGACTCGAAGCTCTAGAAAATAACAAGGTTTCATATAATAATTTCTGATGTCCTGTAAGTATAAATACCAACCTTGAAAGTTTCGTCGACAACAAAACCAGCGGCTCCTCCGAGTTTGACAACTGAACATCAATTTATTGACTTGGCAACTTGCGCACATGGCAGACAATTCTGTAATATTGAATTATTGATAAAGCAACATAATTTTCAAGATAAATCGGTGAAAACGCATGGAAAATAAGAAATATCTTGAATATATTGTTTTCATCGATAATTTCACGAGTTTCAAATAAAACAAACGTTGAAATTCGACAAGAAAGTGCTGTAAAATACAAATACGAACATGAAAATAACAATAGAAACAAAAACAGAAGAAAACTTTCAAAAAACCAAGAAAAACTTTCAAAAAAAAAGAAAAGAAAATCCCAAAAAACCGAAACATCGTGCACACAATGGACGGGTCTTGTGACGATGTTCGCTAGAGCACGCTTGCATTGTCACTCCCTTCCCCATTTTTGCGCTGGCCGTTTCAATGGACGGCCGTTGTTTTTTTTCAACGTGTGCCATGGATGACGTCATCGATCAATTTTTCGAAAAATAACTTATTGAATATTTTTTTAAATTAAATGTACTCGTTTAATGCAGACCGTTGAATGCAGACCGTTGATTGCAGACCGTTAAATTAAAAAAAATTGACAGAAATGTTTTTTTTTTTTGAAAATTGACAGCAAATTTTTAACACTGTTAAAAAACAAGAGAATTCAGAAGATCATCCAGAAATGAAATTATTGAGAAAAATTGTCAGAAGTACATCTCATACAAAAAAAAGAGATTCAATGAGTTTTTTTTTGAAAAATTGTTCGATGACGTCATCCATGGCAAAATTATAATTTTTTCAAGTTTTGATTTTTTGATACAAAGTCTCTTTGCAAGGAACAAAAAAATGTTCCTGAAAACCAAATTGATGATCGAATCAAAAATTATGTACATTATTTGTATCTTACTATAAAAACCAGGGTGCTCTATTGCAAATATCCAAAAAAAACAATGAAATCTTTCGTAAGTTCCGATAATTTCTGACAAAAAATTTCAAAAAATTCATTTTTCCAAAACTCTTCAGATTCTTGTCGTTCTTCTCTCGATTTTCATCGTTTCAATTTCGGCAGCTTGTCCAAAATGTCCAGAAAATCAACATTGCATAAATAGCGCTTGTGTTGCAAAAATTCCATGTGGATTGGGATGTGCTGTCAATCAATTCTGCTTGCATGGATTCTGTACCTATAACGAACCTTTGAGAGCCAGAAGAATTGATGGAATTTCTAACTTCTATTAATTTTCATTTCGAATGAATAATTTATGCATTCATGTTTTGAAAAAAAATCAATGAATCTAAAAAAAATATTTTATTCCACGTGAAACGTCATATTTGAAAATGATCATTTCAAGAAATTTATTATGTTAGAAATTGTCCTTTTCGTTTTATTTGTTGTAAGTTTCTCACAATCACATCAAATCCACACTTATACCTTTGTAGTTTGTAATTATTATCAACTGTTCATTCCGCCCATCTTCTTCAACACGATGTGATCCACGAAAAAGTTTAGATCCTCAAATTGATTCTGATATAAAACGAAAATATATTCCAAATATGCCAGTTTGGGATGAAACTCTTCCTGATGTTTTAGAAGTTTATGATAGTGTTCAAGCTAAACAAAGGTCAGAAGATTGTACAGAATCAGGAATCGAAATATAAAAAATAAAACATTTATTACTTTAAAATTTTTGAATATCTTCGGCTCTTTCTCGAAGAAATTGTAAAGTTTTGCAAACTCGACTAAAATCTCGTTTTTCTACCAAATCTGTCACTTCGAACAACTCTACTTCTCTGAAAATAAATCAATAATTATAAATGGATCGTGTTCTGTGAATAGACTTACATAAAACCAGCATTCAATAAACTGTCTATGAAATTTTTGACATTTTCCGAAGCCGAAAACAGTGGTGGTTTTTGATTGACTGGTTTGAGAAGACTATTTGGGTTTATGCGAAGTAGAAGTCTAACAAATTGTAAAAATGTTTTTAAAATTTAAAAATTAAATTTAAAAATTAAATTATATAAATATGGAGTCACACTTACTTGCAAAGAATTTTTCCATCATGAAGAGATTCCAATGGATCAGATGTTGAAACTTTTTCAGATGTAATATGATTTATCCAATTAATTATCTCAATTTCTTCATCAGTGTTTCGTTTTTTTTTTCCTTGAATCTGGAAAATATCTTTCTAGGTGTTTTTGAAAAAAAAACATTTCGTAGACATGAAGGATAATATATTGATCATCACGTAGCCACTTGAGACTTCGAAGTGTTCTATTTATCTTTTTGCAAAATACCTGGGATGGTATGATTTTTCTAGAAATGAACTGAATTTATGAAAATAAATTGTTTTTTAAGAAATGAAAAATTAAACATTACGTGTTTTTTTTCAGAAAAAATACATTTTTTTTTCAAATTTCGAAATACAATTTTTCAGAAAAAATGTTTAACTTACCCATCCCATTCGAAAACCGCGATCTCTTTTCGATCCATAAGTGAAAGCAGATCCTTGATCATTTGCAGTCAATTCGGGATATTGAGATTTTCCAGTGAACTTTTTCCATCCAACAGCCATCTTTTACAAGAAAATATTTGAAGAATTGAAAAAAAAACAAATAAAAGTGATGAATATTTAGAAAATGCCAGAAAAATGATCGACCAGATGTTTCTGATGAATGTCGACACACACACAAAAATGTGTATAACTTTAAGATTATATTGTGATTTTATTTCGAAAGTACGGATGATTTGAGGTTGACTGCTGCTGTCAAAAGTAAATATTCGAAATGTAAATAGGAGCACTTTGAGAAAACGATAAGGAAAAAAACAGAAAACAATGGATAAGTTGCGCGCGCTTTGCAAAATGATGAGTGATTTGTCGCCCACAACAAAATGAGTCAGTTTTATGATTCGGATCATTCGAGATTCAGTGAAATTAGTAATAGCGGTAAAAGTTATGGATTTTTCAGAAAAATAATTTCAAATCCAAAAATATTTCGGATTAATTCTCAAGTTTCCCAGCTTTTTTTTTGGTTTTTCTGTTTTCCCACATTATCAAAAATGAATTGTCAAATATTGACCATCGAATCATTTGAATCACAAAAAATTGTTCATTTCATTCTGAATACGAAAATGTATTCTCTATTATTATTTCCATTCATTTTTTCCTGCATATTCTCACAATGCCGTGATCTTCATACATCTTGCGATCTTTTTGTCTCATTGGATTTATGCAACACAACATCTCAATTGGCAATCATGAAATATAATTGTGCAAAATCTTGCTCGTTTTGTGGTGTTTTTGTTGGTGATTGTGTTGATCGATTGACAAATTGTGATAGTTATAAAAGTAGTGGATTATGTGAAACTGATGATAAATTGAGGGTTGAATATGCTTGCTCAAAAACTTGCAATGTTTGTAGTTCTCCTGTTTGAATTTGCGAATGTTGAAATTTTTCTCAAAATAAAGCATGTATAATCGAACTTTAGATCTCAAATTGCCGTTGTAAAAATGCCGTCTTGGTCTTCGAACCTCAAAAGCTTCAAATTTGCCAAACACACGCGGAATAAAAGGGAAAGTAACGGTTTTTTCGGCTATCCGACGTCATTCGTTTTACAACCAAAAAACCTGCAAAATATTTTCAGTTTTTTTGTTGTTTCCTTCGCTGGTCGTGATGTTCAAAACCGGATTCACCTTGTTCGTTTTAATCAACACATACACACAAGCGAAAATGTAGATTTCAACCAACCAACCAACAATAATAACAAAGATTTGCGACAAGAGATAGATAAGCAACATTTCGGTGATCACCTGGCGGAGATGTGAACCTGAATTAGGCGGGAAATAAAAAAAAGGCGGGATAGATCTCAAATTGGATGTATAAAAAGTCAATGAAATTGATATATTCAACACCTCAGTTCATCATGAGATTCTTCGTTATTTTCGCTGCTTTCTTCGCTGTCGCTTCAGCTTTCTTGTTCCCATCGGGAGGAGGCGGTGGATGTGGATGGTTAGTTTGTTTCTGACGTGCTTTTTTTCAAAAACAGCTTATCGTATCTACAGAATCATTGAACTGTTTTTTAAAAATATATACTTTTTGCAGCGCTCCACCACCCCCACCACCACCACCATGTGGATGCGGAGCTGGACTTCCACCCCCACCACCCCCACCAGCTGCCTACGTTGCACCCCCACCAGCCCCAATCGGAGGATACGCCGTCGCTGGACGCAAATAAATTATCATTTGCAAAATGAGAAAATATATGTTTGTATAAATTGAAAATGAATTTGTTTTCATTTAATTTTTTTTTTGAAATTTTGTTGGGGGAAAGTTCGGAATTTTCTGAAAAAATACCATGATAGACAATGATGATTCGTGAAAAATCTTCAAAATTCAATTTGCCGGTGAAAAAAGTTCGGCTGATCACTTTCAAGCTAACTTTCTTTTCCGGTCTCGCTCTTCAAATTCTAATTTCTAAATTGAATCCAACTTCAATAACACTATATTTTCCTTTGAACATATGTCTAGTCAATGATTCTAACATAAACCTTTGTGAAAAAAACTGATATAGTCTTGTAAACGAATTTTCCAGTTTGCAACAAATTCAAAAAATTTCAGTCAAGTTTCCAGCATTCAGTATTGAAATAGATCATTCCAATCCAACACACAAACTCAAATCTATTTTGATTTCTAATCTCCGAAATTTATTCAAACCGGCTATTTCCTTTCTTCTTTCTCTTTCTTTTCTCGTTTTCCACATTTGTCCTTGTTTCATTAATGTTGCAAAATTATTTTGGATGAGACAGAAGAACGTTGACAAATGGAAATATGAAAAAAAAATTATCTCAGAAAACAGTATTCAATTTACAGTACAAGACCACCCTTCAGGGTTCAACCAGAAATCAACGATAATTTTAATTTGATTAGGATATGTTGCAACTATGAATGATAATTGTGAAAAGTCAGAAAATCAGAAGTCTAAAGCAGAAAAAAAGTTATTCAAGTTGGAAACGTACAAAAAACATATTTTCGATCTTCGGTCCAGAAAACTTCAGAAATCGAGATAGAATCAAATGAAATAATAAATAGGGTCAGATTCAGCATGTAAAATAACCCTGAAAATGTTTTCGGACAATTTTCGTATCTTTATGCCAAAATTGTGTACAAAAACAGATTGAAACATTAGATCGTATAAATAATTATGCATAAGTCAACTGATTCGATGAAGATCGAAAAAAAAGGTGCTTGATGTTTAGTGGAAATTGCCTCAATAAAGTGACTAAAATTACATCACTAAAAAAGTGCTGTAAAAACTTGAATATCCATTCTTCTTCAGGTAATACAATCAAAATGAAAACCGGAACAATCAGCGAGTTAAGCTAATTATTTAATGCGTCAATGCAATTTCTTCAGCTATAAAAGGCATTTCTCAAACAAGACAAACTCATCATCAGATCAAATCATGAGATTCTTCTTCATTGCTTCAGCCTTATTCGCTGTCTCATCTGCCTTCTTATTCGGTGCTCTCGGAGGAGGAGGAGGTGGGGGTGGAAGTGGATGTGGATGTGGTGCTCCACCACCTCCTCCTCCTCCAGCTTGTGCACCTCCACCACCCGCCCCAGCATGTGGAGGAGGAGGTGGATATGCTGCACCACCTCCCCCACCTGCTCCAGCTGCTTATGCAGCTCCACCGCCAGCTTATGCGCCTGCACCAGCCGCTGGAGGATATGCTGCACCATCTGGAGGATACGCTGTTGGAGGACGCAAATAAACTTCAATTATTTTTGCTTGTCTCATTTATTTGTGTATTTTGAAAACTATCTACTTACTGCCATAAACTTTTCAATTTTTATTTGTTTTCACACAATTTTACATACAGAAGAAGGTAAAGAGAGAAAAAAGGAATTATTCCAATAAATCGGCAAGAGTTTTATCCAACTCTTCATCATTTTGATATTCATCAACACCCGCTGGAGTTTCAACAGCTTTGACAATTGTTGCAGCAGCAACACTTGGAGTTACGACAACTTTCGAAACTGGTGCAGTTATGACAGTTGGTGAACTTGGAAGTTCAACTTCGGTTGGCATCAAATAACTTCCATCCTTGAGAATTGGTGTTGGTGGAGGTGGTGAAATTGGTGAAGAAATATATCTTGGAATTGGATTATAATATTGTTGTGGAGGTGAAGGGAGAAGTGGCGGTGGAACTGAATAATATGAAGGGGCAGATTGATAAGACGGTTGTTGAAGATAGGAATTTTGTTGGAAACCGCCACAACCACAGTTTCCAGCACCAAGTCCGCCACCAAGAAATGGGAAAAGGAAAGCTGAAGAAGCAGCGAAGAATGAGAAAATGATCAAAAGCTTCATGTTAACAAACACGAATATCAAACCAGTGAAACTATTGGGTATTTATAGGTTGATAGAACAAAAAGATGAAATATAATGTGTGACTGACCCTCATTGAAGATTCGAAAGAAAGCCAATAAATTATTCAAGTGTGTCTTCAAGATTAAATGATTGATAGTATCACAAAAAATAATTGACTATATAATGTTCCACTTTTTGACTAGAATAACATACTTCTGTGATCACTGATTGTAAAATGAAATTTCTATTCATTGCTTCAACCATGTTTCTCTCCTCATCTGCATTTTTGTTTGGTTCGTTGGGCGGAAATGGATGTGGATGTGGGTTACCCCCTCCACCTTGTAATTCGGGTTGTGGATTGGCTCCACCGTGCACTCCTCAATACTCTGTGCCGCCAGTACCAATCAGTGGAGGCTGCGGTGGATCATATCCAGTAGTTCCACCAGTTCAAACCTATTCCGCTCCCTTACCTTCTTCAAGCTTATTCAGTTGGATCATATCCAATCGGAGGTAAATAACTCAATTCTAATTTTTTTTGGAAAATCAGACAATTTTTTTTGTATATTTTTGTAATGAAAATGTTGTTCAAAATATCCAATTTTCAGTATTTGGATTACTGTAGATTCATTTTTATTATAAAAAAGAGTTTTGAAAAAAGATAGAGATTTTAACCAACTTTTTGTCTCTGAAAGTCGGAAAAAATTGAAGTTTACCATGGAAATTTGAATTTCAAAAAAGGCTCTCTAAATATTAAAAATGAACGGCTGTTAAGTTAACTTTTCTGTGACATGAATAAAAACGTGTTCATTCTTTTTGCTCTGCGGAAAGACACCTTGAGAACAAGATAAGTAGAAGATTTATTTGATTACTTATACACAGAAAATAATCAGGTAATTACTTGAAGCATCAATTATTTGCGTCCGGCGACAGCATATCCACCCGAAGCCATTGGAGCTGGTGGAGCATAAGCAACAGGTGCAGGAGCCGCAGCAGCTCCAGCTCCACATCCACAAGCTGGTGGTGGGGGTGGACAACATCCACTTCCACCGCCACCGCCACCTCCTCCTCCGAGAGCTCCGAATAAGAAGGCAGATGAGACAGCGAAGAAAGCAGAGAGAAGAATGAAGAATCTCATATTTAGAAGTTGTTAGTTCGAAATGATGATTAGTTAGGTGATAGATGGACATATTTATAGGAACTTTTTGTAAAAGGATGTACCTGATGTTTGTTTCGTTATTAGGTGTAATTTATGTTACAACCTGTCTCAGATTAGTTTTGACTGCAAATTAAGTATGTCAATTTGAGAATGAAACAACTTAAGAAACTTGAGATCCGGGAAACTAATCTTTGCTTTTTGTATAAAAAACAAAGTCCATTTGGAAATTATGGATGAAAATAATAAATCGTCGTTGCGAAGTTACTCTGAATTCACGATTTTTCAATCTAGCTCAATTTTTATGGATGAAAATAATAAATCGTCGTTGCGAAGTTACTCTGAATTCACGATTTTTCAATCTAGCTCAATTTTATGGATGAAAATAATAAATCGTCGTTTCGAAGTTACTCTGAATTCACCATTTTTCAATCTAGCTCAATTTTATGGATGAAAATAATAAATGGTCGTTTCGAAGTTACTTCCAATTCACCATTTTTCAATCTAGCTCAATTTTATGGATGAAAATAATAAATCGTCGTTGCGAAGTTACTCTGAATTCACGATTTTTCAATCTAGCTCAATTTTATGGATGAAAATAATAAATCGTCGTTTCGAAGTTACTCTGAATTCACCATTTTTCAATCTAGCTCAATTTTATGGATGAAAATAATAAATCGTCGTTTCGAAGTTACTCTGAATTCACCATTTTTCAATCTAGCTCAATTTTATGGATGAAAATAATAAATGGTCGTTTCGAAGTTACTTCCAATTCACCATTTTTCAATCTAGCTCAATTTTATGGATGAAAATAATAAATCGTCGTTTCGAAGTTACTCTGAATTCACCATTTTTCAATCTAGCTCAATTTTATGGATGAAAATAATAAATCGTCGTTTCGAAGTTACTCTGAATTCACCAATTTTCAATCTAGCTCAATTTTATGGATAAAAATAATAAATCGTCGTTTCGAAGTTACTCTGAATTCACCATTTTTCAATCTAGCTCAATTTTATGGATAATAATAATAAATCGTCGTTTCGAAGTTACTCTGAATTCACCATTTTTCAATCTAGCTCAATTTTATGGATAAAAATAATAAATCGTCGTTTCGAAGTTACTCTGAATTCACCATTTTTCAATCTAGCTCAATTTTATGGATAATAATAATAAATCGTCGTTTCGAAGTTACTCTGAATTCACCAATTTTCAATCTAGCTCAATTTTATGGATAAAAATAATAAATCGTCGTTTCGAAGTTACTCTGAATTCACCAATTTTCAATCTAGCTCAATTTTATGGATAAAAATAATAAATCGTCGTTTCGAAGTTACTCTGAATTCACCATTTTTCAATCTAGCTCAATTTTATGGATGAAAATAATAAATCGTCGTTTCGAAGTTACTCTGAATTCACCATTTTTCAATCTAGCTCAATTTTATGGATAATAATAATAAATCGTCGTTTCGAAGTTACTCTGAATTCACCATTTTTCAATCTAGCTCAATTTTATGGATAATAATAATAAATCGTCGTTTCGAAGTTACTCTGAATTCACCATTTTTCAATCTAGCTCAATTTTATGGATAATAATAATAAATCGTCGTTTCGAAGTTACTCTGAATTCACCATTTTTCAATCTAGCTCAATTTTTATGGATAATAATAATAAATCGTCGTTTCGAAGTTACTCTGAATTCACCATTTTTCAATCTAGCTCAATTTTTATGGATAATAATAATAAATCGTCGTTTCGAAGTTACTCTGAATTCACCATTTTTCAATCTAGCTCAATTTTATGGATAATAATAATAAATCGTCGTTTCGAAGTTACTCTGAATTCACCAATTTTCAATCTAGCTCAATTTTTATGGAAAAAAATAATAAATCGTCGTTTCGAAGTTACTCTGAATTCACCATTTTTCAATCTAGCTCAATTTTATGGATAATAATAATAAATCGTCGTTTCGAAGTTACTCTGAATTCACCAATTTTCAATCTAGCTCAATTTTATGGAAAAAAATAATAAATCGTCGTTTCGAAGTTACTCTGAATTCACCAATTTTCAATCTAGCTCAATTTTATGGATAATAATAATAAATCGTCGTTTCGAAGTTACTCTGAATTCACCATTTTTCAATCTAGCTCAATTTTTATGGATAATAATAATAAATCGTCGTTTCGAAGTTACTCTGAATTCACCATTTTTCAATCTAGCTCAATTTTATGGATAATAATAATAAATCGTCGTTTCGAAGTTACTCTGAATTCACCATTTTTCAATCTAGCTCAATTTTATGGATAATAATAATAAATCGTCGTTTCGAAGTTACTCTGAATTCACCATTTTTCAATCTAGCTCAATTTTATGGATAATAATAATAAATCGTCGTTTCGAAGTTACTCTGAATTCACCATTTTTCAATCTAGCTCAATTTTATGGATAATAATAATAAATCGTCGTTTCGAAGTTACTCTGAATTCACCATTTTTCAATCTAGCTCAATTTTATGGATAATAATAATAAATCGTCGTTTCGAAGTTACTCTGAATTCACCATTTTTCAATCTAGCTCAATTTTATGGATAATAATAATAAATCGTCGTTTCGAAGTTACTCTGAATTCACCATTTTTCAATCTAGCTCAATTTTATGGATAATAATAATAAATCGTCGTTTCGAAGTTACTCTGAATTCACCATTTTTAAAATCTAGCTCAATTTTTATGGATAAAAATAATAAATCGTCGTTTCGAAGTTACTCTGAATTCACCATTTTTCAATCTAGCTCAATTTTATGGATAATAATAATAAATCGTCGTTTCGAAGTTACTCTGAATTCACCATTTTTCAATCTAGCTCAATTTTATGGATAATAATAATAAATCGTCGTTTCGAAGTTACTCTGAATTCACCATTTTTCAATCTAGCTCAATTTTTATGGATAATAATAATAAATCGTCGTTTCGAAGTTACTCTGAATTCACCATTTTTCAATCTAGCTCAATTTTATGGATAATAATAATAAATCGTCGTTTCGAAGTTACTCTGAATTCACCATTTTTCAATCTAGCTCAATTTTTATGGATAATAATAATAAATCGTCGTTTCGAAGTTACTCTGAATTCACCATTTTTCAATCTAGCTCAATTTTATGGATAATAATAATAAATCGTCGTTTCGAAGTTACTCTGAATTCACCATTTTTCAATCTAGCTCAATTTTATGGATAATAATAATAAATCGTCGTTTCGAAGTTACTCTGAATTCACCATTTTTCAATCTAGCTCAATTTTTATGGATAATAATAATAAATCGTCGTTTCGAAGTTACTCTGAATTCACCATTTTTCAATCTAGCTCAATTTTTATGGATAATAATAATAAATCGTCGTTTCGAAGTTACTCTGAATTCACCAATTTTCAATCTAGCTCAATTTTATGGATAATAATAATAAATCGTCGTTTCGAAGTTACTCTGAATTCACCATTTTTCAATCTAGCTCAATTTTATGGATAATAATAATAAATCGTCGTTTCGAAGTTACTCTGAATTCACCATTTTTCAATCTAGCTCAATTTTATGGATAATAATAATAAATCGTCGTTTCGAAGTTACTCTGAATTCACCATTTTTCAATCTAGCTCAATTTTATGGATAATAATAATAAATCGTCGTTTCGAAGTTACTCTGAATTCACCATTTTTCAATCTAGCTCAATTTTATGGATAATAATAATAAATCGTCGTTTCGAAGTTACTCTGAATTCACCATTTTTCAATCTAGCTCAATTTTATGGATAATAATAATAAATCGTCGTTTCGAAGTTACTCTGAATTCACCATTTTTCAATCTAGCTCAATTTTATGGATAATAATAATAAATCGTCGTTTCGAAGTTACTCTGAATTCACCATTTTTCAATCTAGCTCAATTTTATGGATAAAAATAATAAATCGTCGTTTCGAAGTTACTCTGAATTCACCATTTTTCAATCTAGCTCAATTTTATGGATAATAATAATAAATCGTCGTTTCGAAGTTACTCTGAATTCACCATTTTTCAATCTAGCTCAATTTTATGGATAATAATAATAAATCGTCGTTTCGAAGTTACTCTGAATTCACCATTTTTCAATCTAGCTCAATTTTATGGATAAATAATAAATCGTCGTTTCGAAGTTACTCTGAATTCACCATTTTTCAATCTAACTCAATTTTATGGATAATAATAATAAATCGTCGTTTCGAAGTTACTCTGAATTCACCATTTTTCAATCTAGCTCAATTTTTATGGATAATAATAATAAATCGTCGTTTCGAAGTTACTCTGAATTCACCATTTTTCAATCTAGCTCAATTTTATGGATAATAATAATAAATCGTCGTTTCGAAGTTACTCTGAATTCACCATTTTTCAATCTAGCTCAATTTTATGGATAATAATAATAAATCGTCGTTTCGAAGTTACTCTGAATTCACCATTTTTCAATCTAGCTCAATTTTATGGATAAAAATAATAAATGGTCGTTTCGAAGTTACTCTGAATTCACCATTTTTCAATCTAGCTCAATTTTATGGATAATAATAATAAATCGTCGTTTCGAAGTTACTCTGAATTCACCATTTTTCAATCTAGCTCAATTTTATGGATAATAATAATAAATCGTCGTTTCGAAGTTACTCTGAATTCACCATTTTTCAATCTAGCTCAATTTTATGGATAATAATAATAAATCGTCGTTTCGAAGTTACTCTGAATTCACCATTTTTCAATCTAGCTCAATTTTATGGATAATAATAATAAATCGTCGTTTCGAAGTTACTCTGAATTCACCATTTTTCAATCTAGCTCAATTTTATGGATAATAATAATAAATCGTCGTTTCGAAGTTACTCTGAATTCACCAATTTTCAATCTAGCTCAATTTTTATGGATAATAATAATAAATCGTCGTTTCGAAGTTACTCTGAATTCACCATTTT